AGTACGTGTACCATAGATTAAACTTACTCCTTTAGTAGATTTGTCATCATTATGGATTAGCTAAAAACAATTCTTGTTATTTAACCATAGTTTATCCAAAATAAAACGATCTAATTATAAACAATAGGTCGACTCCTGGTTATAGGTATTAAAATAAATTAAAAACACACATCATAGAATTAACCCTAAAATAATAGAAACAAAATTACGTCAAAACTAACGTCCAGTGTCACCTAGACATGAAAAAATTTGAATTAACAATGAAGTCGACTTGAGTTATATTTAATCGATGGTGGTACTGCATCTATGTTATATTTCCAAAGCAAAACAGCATTATTCTGGCCAACCACACTGATCCTTAGGTCTGAGGAGAAAATGACAGCATTAATCGTGCTTTGGAGGGTTTTTAAATTTTTCTAAAACCTATTGCAAACTGAGATAAATATTTTTTTGTTAATTTTAAAGATAAATTCATCGTTTTTAAATATACAACACAGTATTATATATTTTAACTTGATCCTGCAGATTGTTGTAAACTAAATGGACCATAAGTTAATAACTGTTGTTTTGTGAGGTGATGGTGGTAACAGTCTAGCTTGCATGCGCCCCTAATCACTCCGATCTCCGATCAGTAGCGCCGACGAGCCAGCATAGTGGCAATGCAATGCGTACCGCTCAGGCTCTCTTCAACATCCCTACAGCCTACTGCCGTATTACCAATGTTGTAACGAAATTGATGCGTAATAATTCAGACAAATAGTTTAAATTTTCTAACATTTATTTCTTCCTATGAACTTCAGAATCAGAATGTTTGTTAGCCAGAAATTTTTTTTTAAATCAACTACAGTATGACAATTTGTTTTTATTTTTAGATATTTAAAAAAAAATCCTCTGGCCCATGGGAGCTTGGGCCCATAGGCCCGGGCCTATTGGGAAATCCGGCCCTGGATAATGGTCTCTCTTAAAGGGAGGTGTTCACAATTTCACCGAAATCGCTGGGCCACTCGTTAAGTATTACCTCTGGATACATGAAAAAATAGGAGTAAAAAAAATTCTTAATAACGTCCGAATAAATCAATTAGTGGAGGTATCGGTAAGGGTCTCCCACCTTACAATATACCCTAACTACTTACTCATACTGCCCTATTTGGCGATGTAAATGAACTTTTACCTCTAGAATTAAATAATTTACATTTCAATAATTTAAAGTTGACATATTTAAGACCTGATAACATTGCATTGCAACAAAACATGTAAGTATAAATTATTTTTCCTACAGTTACCTAACGATGTTAACAAACAACAGGACAAAAATTACTCAAGTTATTGCGTTTACGGACACACACACATATATATATACATATAAATATACATATATATACAGGGTGTTCATTTGAAAACTTTCCATATCTGTTGTGTGCAAAGGTAAGGCTTTTAACACTTGTTTGTTCTCATTTCCCCCTAATTTGGACATGCCAAATCCAATAAAATTATTTTCAATTTCGAAAAATGCCCCAAAATGGCCCAATTTGGGGGGTAGGGGTGCTTTTTGAGAAATTTTCAAATGTAAACATGGGTTGTGTGATACATCAATTTAAAGGTCTAATCACCCCGACTATTTTGGAGCAATAAAAATTTAATTATCTTTAACCGTATTTACAGGGTGGGTCAAAATATTTTAAAAAAGGACTTTGAAGTTAAGTACCGTATTACACGAACTACTGAACGGAACAGCGCCAAATTTCTTTCCAAGCTTATTCTTGATCTACTCTTTAAGATAACTTGTAATAAGGGCATTTTCCGTGTTATTTTCTATTTTTTAAAAAATCTCAAATTTGAAGAATAAAAGAAAGCTGAAAACTCAAAATTCTTAAATAGCAAGGTATAGCAAATTTCATACCACGTGAAAGGTCCTTTTTTAACAAACATTTTACGTATTTAAGTTTTCTTTCTATCTCTTACCGTTTAAAAATTACAGTAGAAAAACTGAATTTTCTATGGTAAAATTTTAACTAGTTTTCTAACAAAACACATTGCACTTTGCTCAACGATGTATTATGATTAATTACAAATTGATCAACTACTTTTACTTGTGTCAGTTCATCTTGGACTCTTCATCCTGTTCTTTTCTCATTGGTAACTGAGCCAGTTTCAGAAATTTCTTAACTAAATCATTTACAGCTTTATGACTTAATGTCTTACCTGGATATTTATTGTTAAACACTTTGCAGTTATCCTGAAACACTTTTGTTCTGTCCAATAAGTAAAAATAAAGTCAATTTTTTTAAGTGTACACCATATTCGATTAGATACTACAGAAAATAGTACTTTTTGAAATTAGTACTACCATTGACTAGTCAATGGTACTACAGAAAGCGGCCCACATGTAGGTTGTCCTCATCAGCTATAAGACTTGTTTTTTACAAAGTAAAACGTGATGACTTGTTTGTCAATCAGGGTATCAATAATTATGAATTGTTTCCTTCAGTTAATGCACCATTAAATGTGTCTAGAGACGAATTTTGGCTGTTTTATTAGAAAACTAGTTACAATATTACTATGGAAAATTCAGTTTTTCTACTGCAATTTTTAAACGGTAAGAGATAGAAAGAAAACTTAAATACGTAAAATGTTTGTTAAAAAAGGACCTTTCACGTGGTATGAAATTTGCTATACCTTGCTATTTAAGAATTTTGAGTTTTCAGCTTTCTTTTATTCTTCAACTTTGAGATTTAAAAAAAAAAAGAAAATAACACTGAAAATGCCCTTATTACAAGTTATCTTAAAGAGTAAATCAAGAATAAGCTTGGAAAGAAATTTGGCGCTGTTCCGTTCAGTAGTTCGGGTAATACGGTACTTAACTTCAAAGTCCTTTTTTAAAACATTTTGACCCACCCTGTAAATACGGTTAAAGATAATTAGATTTTTATTGCACCAAAATAGTCGGGGTGATTATACCTTTAAATTGATGTATCACACAACCCATGTTTACATTTGAAAATTTCTCAAAAAGCACCCCTACCCCCCAAATTGGGCCCTTTTGGGGCATTTTTCGAAATTGAAAATAATTTTATTGGATTTGGCATGTCCAAATTAGGGGGAAATGAGAACAAACAAGGGTAAAAAGCCTTACCTTTGCACACAACAGATATGGAAAGTTTTCAAATGAACACCCTGTATACATATATACACATATATATATAAATTTGAACGAATAGTGTTTTTGGCCTCTGGGGACATCAAAATGAAAAAGTAAATTGGTCCCAGGCTCAAGCCATACCATGAGAACTACGGTTATAGCTACTTCCCTATTGGGAAATTCGCTAATATCAGATCCTTTGTCATTTTTCATCGTAAGTCCAGTTGTTATCCTGTTTGTTACCTTCAAATGTATTTCTCTTGTACACTGCATATCATGCTCATTCATGTTTTTACTAACTCACAATTAAAAAAAATGTTAGTTATTATTTGTTTTTGTTCATGTTATTTATATTGTTATGTTAACTGTATTTTTACTGTAATGTTCTCTAGTTGTTTCAAGCCATTGCGTCTTTGCCCTAAGAACATTACCAACATATGAATATATTGTAATTGGAGTAATATGTTGGAAATAAAATAAATAAATTGAAAGCTAACTTGATAATAATCAAGCAAATGTTTATATTGTGGCAGGTGATTCTGTGATGTTATATCTGGGATCAATGATTCCTAAGCTGAAGAGTAGATCAGGCAAACAAGGAGGAGGAGACCCAGGAGCTCAGGGGAGTGGACAAAGTGGAGGCTCAAAAAAGAAGGGGAAAGGAAGAAGATGAACATAACCTACATTAAGGTCAGCTTTTAAACAAAATATTTCTATGATTAATAAGAATTAGGCCCAAAGATGGTAAAAAATAGCCAAAGCCAAGTTTTATGATACTTTATACTACTTTGACTGGGAACAGCATAAAGTGTGTTACAATAAAAACAATGTGTAGTAGAACCCCAATTATCTGAACTCCAATCATCCAGATGTCCAATTAACTGTATTACCTTAAGCAGAAATAAATGGTACCATGGTGGCAGCAATCTGACAAATACTTTCTCCCATTAGCTTGTCAACAACCCCTGTCATGGGACTAATCAAATTTATGGGGAAAATCACAAAAGTTGCAAACACTTTTGAACTGTAATTTTTACATCACTGGGAGCTGTACAATTTTGTTTAGAGTCAAAAGGAGCTAAGGAGCATAACATATTAAGTTTTAATCCAAATCAATCAGGCTGTTTTTGTGAAAATATGATTTCCTGTTATTTCATGGGAAAATCACCATTAAAAATCAAGATTGCAAAACAATAAAAAAGGGGATACTATGGTGTATATTTTATATTTATAGTATCCACATACCTGATTTAATCAAAGTCGGACCATAGGTGTGGTCTGTAGCTTTGTACACATCAACATACACTGACATCACTTTGAAAACGCCTTCTTTGGTTTTTTTGTAGACTATGGTAATCTGTTATATATTTTAATGTGTGCTAATTGTTTCCATCATGCAGCAAGTCTATTGTAGTATTGTATTAATTATGTGAAGGTTGAGTCATATGCCAACTGCCAATTACTATCCTTGAAAGTAAGCCTATTCTTTAAAAGTCCAATAATCTAGATTTTTAACCATTTGAATGAGGCCCGGTCCTAATTGATTTGGATAGTTGGACTGTAGTAGTAAATAAAAAAATGTATATTTAAGCTGGACCAAAAGGATTGGAAGCACCAACCCCCATCCCGTCTTTCACCATTTTGAACCCCAGATATTTCATGTGACAATTAGACTTGTATTCCTGCCCTTTGAACCTGATTTTATTAAAATTCTAGCTGTGCAGTGTATTGCCATTGTGTAAGCAAATATTGTGAAATACCTATTAAGGGTTAAACTAAAATTTGAAAATGTACGACTAATTTAATTATTTTTTCAGGTCCTAATTTTTAAGTTGCATGGGAAAAAGAAGAAAATACCAGCTCAAATAATAGAATTTATTACAGTTAAATAAAAAAATACATGTGATAGATGATTATTCTTTATTACCTATGGTAATTTTATTTTGGATACTAGATCAGAAATACCATCCATATAGTCCAGGTGACCATATGTACCAGGTAGCCTATTTTCTATTAGAAAAGAAAATAGTTGAATGATCCCAGGGGTGGTTCTAAGTAAGAGGGTGCTAATGGGGGTGAATCACACCAGAAGGGAGGTCAGGTGGTTCTCCTGCTGAAAATTTGCTATTTTTAAAACCATTTTTAACGTCTAGAACTGTATCCAGAAACCTTTGTTAGGTTTTTATGAAAAATTTTATGTTTAAATTTATATTACCAGGGTAGACCCTCCCTTGGAACCGCCACTGATTGAGCCATTCATGAAGTGGACTACAGCCTTAAATTCTATTTTATTCCTTGGTTTTTGTTACTATTTTTGTACAGTTTATGTGACATAAAAGCTACAATAAGTTGTTCTATCAGTTTGACTTGGTAAAAAATATGGCGAATTCGTTAGAAACCAACAACCAACAGCTTACATCAGCTCAATGTCAGTGGATCAATTCAACTATGTCTATTATGATTCTAAAAATTAAGAAAATTTAAATGGGGACGAAATATCTATTTACATCAATAGTCAACACTATAATACAGAAACAGGTAGATGATATGAAATTCTATTGTAAAACTGTAGACTTGTAACAAAAAATGCACAATAAGTTGCTTCCAAACTAATCAATCAGTCAACCTTTAATGTTAATCATCATTAAACAAAAATACTAAACGTGTGCATTGAGTTGCCAATTACAAAACAACAGCCGCAAAAAAAATACTCTGCGGCTGCTGCTACCTATGAGGATAAAATATGCACACATTAAATGAGTTCTAGTGACTGCCTAGTACGTTCCTAACAGGAACAAGATTATATTTCAACTATGCAGAAATACCAAAGGCTGTATTTAAAGGTAAATACATGTGTAGCTTTGTTACTGACTAAGACCAACTGATTCTATAACCAGAATGAATCACTAAAAGCCCATGATTTAGGACAACTAGGACCAGTTTTGATCATTGGACCTTTAATAAATCACTCTGATTAGTTTTTCGGTCTTCAAGTTTTTTTCACGTCTCCACATTTTTTCCCTCCTTTTTTCATGTTTGCCATGAGAATTTCTTCTGGTACATCCTGATATGGCTTGTTATCCATCCTCACTGTTTCATCTCTGAATCGAACCTCTGAAATTCAAAAGTTAATAATTAAACACGTACTAACTAGTTAGCAATCATACACAATTATTTTGTTAAATTCATCTAAAAACCGATAGAAATGTTACAAAATAAAATCAAGGTACAGTCACCTAGGAATGCTTTAAGTTAAAAAATATGTAGATTCCAGTATTTATAAGTTGTTAAATTTCTATTTTAAGCCCCTGTCCAATATTTTGATGTATAGTAGGACGATTTAAGTGAATAATTAAATGAAATAATATTAATTTAGATTAATAAAAACATACAGGGTGTCCGGTAAGTAAGTACAAAAAAATTAGTAATAGGTTTTATGGGCTAAAATAAAACGAAAATGAAGGATAACATTTTGTTAACACCTCGTCAGAGAGATATTGGCCACCACTTTGAAACCGAAAAATATTATTATTAATTTGATATAACAACTTCACCAATATTTCTGAATTTTTAATTTTCATGAGGCCTTTTGCCAGCTATGCTGGCATCATCAGACACATCACATGTTCTATGTAAAAATATGTCACGTTTCTTTACCAATTTATTTGTTTTATGGTAACTGTAGGAAAAATATAATGTGCAACTCGAGTGCAAAGTGCAATTGCCTCACTCGAGATGTCTGATGATGCCAGCATAGCTGGCGAAAGGCCTCATAAAAATTAAAAATTCAGAAATATTGGTGAAGTTGTTATTTCAAATTAATATTAATTCCAATATTACCAGTTCTTCTTGAAGACCAAAAAAAAATATTGTTTAATGATTTTTTTTTCACATAGCTTAGTATAAAAGTTATAACCAGTCAGTAGCTTTTGTGTTTGTTAAGAGCTCTATTAATCATTCGGCAGTGTTTGCTCATTGCACAAAGATCAGGTGTTATAAAGAATCCAGTCATTCCCTGCAACTTATCCGTCAAACAAAAAATACTTGGATGACAACTAACTTTTTCAATTAGTGGCTAGTATCATTAAATAAGGTTATGAAACACAAAAATCTAAACTTATCTCGCTCCTTAACAATTGTTTGGTCCACAACAACGATCCTCATGTTTTAAACATAAAACTTCAATTTCTGCAACACATTAGAGTTGTAGGCCCTTGATGCATACAAACATCATACAATATTACAAAAGGGACCTGAAATATTAAAAAAATGAACTCTTTGTAATCAGATGGTTTCTTTTTCTTCCAATAAGTCTGACCTCTTCATAACTCAAATTTATTTGCTTGACCGTTCAGTTTTTAACTATCAAGGTTTTACTGTATTTACTTACCATATTTTAGAGGTTCAACTTCCCTAGCCTGGACAACAGTTGTTTTTAACTCAGTTTCAACATCTTTGGAGAATTTTATCATCTGGAAAAAAACAATACCTACTAAATAACCAAATGGTTATGGGTGAATAATTTTTTTGGGACAATCACTGTCCTTGTTGAGAAATTAATTGAATCTGGTTACAACTATTTAATTGAAAACAAGGCAGAATACACTGTTCATTGTGACTGGGTATCTTATTTTGAGTAAAAAATTTGTATATGTATTATAATAAATATAACTTCCGGAATTGAAGCGCCGATCGCACGTCCCGTTTGTGTTTGTCCTAATTTGATGTTAAACCATAAAATATAGTTGCTCGCTATTTATCAAAACAACAACAAAAACATTATGTATCCTAACGTATAAACCTGAGTATTATACCATAGATAATCTGTAAAATTATATATAACGCTTTAAAACTTTGTCTCCACTGTGTTAAGTAGCGCCGGTCGCAAGGTTTGTAATTTAAGTTTCTAGCCGTTATATGGCTGGTCGAGCACCAGTTCCTTGTCAGATGTGCGTGGAATGTCAGTGAGGTCCATTGTGCGTGCTCGAAATTTAGCTATTTACCGGTAAGTAATAATTCATCAAATACTTTAATAAACAGGTGTTTTATGTTTTTATACTGCGCAAAAATTTTTCTCTTAGGGGGGGGGGGGGGGGTAGCTTAAAATTTTTAAGTAGGAAGTATGGTCGATTTTTGTATCATTTTACAGGTCTTGACATAACTAAACAATTAACATCAAGAAAATAGAAATCGGACAACTAATAACAAAATGGCAGCTAAAAATTATTAAGACAATTAATAGTCATTAAAAGTAATTTTTAACTGCCATTTTGTTATTAGTGGTCCAATTTCTATTTTATTGATGTTAATTGTTTAGTTTTGTCAAGATCTGTAAAATGATACCAAAATCAACCATACTTCCTATTTTAAAATTTTGAGCTACCCCCACTACCCTAAGGGCAAAATTTTCAAAATTAAACATCATTATTGTAGCCCCTCATATCTAAATAGGTTCCTGCAAACCGATTTCAAATATTTGAAATACCTAGTTAAAAAGTAAGGGGGTGCAAGTTAATTTTCAGTCACCCTCGTAGTTATTTGGATTTGTTACGTTTTAGGGCACCATTTTGTTATTAGTGGTCCGATTTTGGTTTTCTTTATGTCAATTGTTTAGTTTTGTCAAGACCTGTAAAATGATACCAAACTCGACTAAACTTGCCATTTGAAAATTTTGAGCTATTGTAGCCCCTCCTCATTTCTAAGATGGTTGCCGCTAACCGATTTCAAATATCTCAAAAGGTTCAAAAGTTAAGGGGGGGAGGGGTGCAAGTTACTTCTCAGCCACCCTGTATATACACCGGGGGTAGACTATACAAATTTGTTAAGTGTTCTTTGGCTGAATCATATACATATACAAACACATGACAAATATTATCTAACAAGCTTACCTCCTCTATTTTTGTTTTATCTTCAAAATGTTTGTTTTTTTGATACTCCTCATTGATCTTAGCTCGAGTTACTGAAAACAACATAATTTTAGTGGCTTCTCTTTCAGCAGTTACTTGTATTATGCAGAGTGTCCCATAAGTAAATAGCTAAGCTTTACAAAATGTTTCTATGGGTCCAAATAAAAAGAAAATCAAGAATGCAATGTTTCCCAAAATCTCTTTGTTAACCATATATATTTACAGTTTTTTTTCAACTGATCCTTATGGGACTTGGTATGTATGTTAAAGTTAAAGAGACCAATTTTAGAAACACAATTAACTTATTAGTCAAATTTAAAATTTCTAAATAATGGCCATTTATAAACAATTCAAACAACCAAAAAATTACTGATTTTATGAAAAACCATCAAGAACACTTTTAAAAGCATGTACATTTTCCTATCAAACTACACAACGTTTAAAAAGATCAAAACTAGAAGTAGCTGAAATATCACAATTTTTAGTTGTAAAATGAGGTAGAATAAGGCCAAGATAGTAAGGTGGCTTATTGGACCACTAAAAATCATTATTTTTCAGTTATACTTCAATTGATCTTTTAGAACTTAGTGTAGTTTGATTAGAAATTTAACATGCTAAATAAAAGTATGCCTACTGTACCTACTTGACAATTTTCATAAAATCAACTATTTTTCATTAGCTTTAACTATAAATATTTAAATGGGTGCCTTTTTGGGATGTTGAATTGGACCAAGCTCATTTTTTCCTAGCATAGGTCTCTTTACTTTAAAATAAATTACCAAGTTTAAAAAAGATGGGTCAGAATAACGCAAAAATAAAAAATAAAATTTTTAAATACAAAATGGAGGATATCTAGTTAACGAAGCGATTTTTTTAAAAACTACATTCTTGTTTTATCTTTATTTTGTTTTTGACCCATTAAACCTTTTTCTGGAGTTTGGCTGTTTATCTACAGGAAACTCTGTATTTTTAATAAGAGTGATGAAAACTAAGTTTGGAAGAAATCTCAAACATTTGTCTCATCTTTCGTCCCTTTTACACTTGGTGCTGTGTTGAATAGTTGGTTGTGTCAAGTGCATTGAGCCACATGTATCATGGGGCCAATATAAATACCAATCATACCTAGTGCCCAACAGGGAGCGAGCTGGTCTAGTGGTTAGAGCGCGGGACATCGGTTCCTGAGATCCCGGGTTCAAATCCCACCAAATCACCAATGGATTTTATTTAAGTGATAATGCTGACACCCCTAGGTTTAGCCTGAAGTAACGTGAAAAACAATTCCGGGCATGTGCCTAGCGTCCTAAGAAAAAAAAGGTGTCTAACAGGTGTATTATGAATCAACATAATCAGCTATTCCAAAAAAACCCCATTTTGATAAGCTATTATATTAGCCTACTACTGTAGAACTCCATCTATCTAAATTAATTAGGGTTGGTTCAGTTCTGGTTGTATAGATATCTGGGTTAGGCCTTGGGAATTGAGCAAAAGACACACAATTACAGCAAAATAATTATAATTTTACTGAACAATTTACTAGAAATTTTATGAACAGAAAGTCAACAAACTGTATAAAGGATATGTGTTACTTTATATGTCACAGCTAATCTCAGAGACAGAACAGTAGCAGAAGGGGGAAAGGGGTTTGATTCATCGTTCCAAACAGCGTGTTATCCCAAGACACGCTCCCTTTGGTTTTTACTTGATCTTAAAATTTGTCTTTTAAAATCAATTTGGATAAATGGGGTAGGAATAATTGAATTTCTTCTGTAACTTGATTGATTGGATCTACAGATATACAATACTGTGTTGTAAAATAAGTATGAATATTACAGTAGTAGCATTCACTCTGAATGCTGTCCTAGAAACTAGCATTTGATCAAATGTTTGACCATCAAACGCGGCAAAATCTTTTTACTGAAACCATTTGCAAATTTGTAGACTACACATCTAACACATCTCACTATTGGTGAAAGTTAGCAAGCAGTGAACAGTATTGCTTAAATTAGACGGATTAAGCTACATCATGGTTTAAAACCAATAGTGTACAACCACTAAAAGGGGATAAGGCAACTCTAAATACATTATATATGCATTATACATCAATTAATTGGAAATAATTAAATAACTTCTTGATCAGCATTGTACGTGTTATTAAATTTACGGAAAGTAAATAAAAGAAACGTCTTATAACACTTAAAACATATATTTACACTTAAAAATACTGTTACTCACAAGACGGTAAATATACAAAAAAGATGGTAAGAGGTGATCGATTTCGATTGGACACTCCAATCATCATCAGACCCAATAGGCGAATGACAAGAATTCGGAATCACCGGCCAATTCATTTTTATAAGAACAACTGGAGTCGATATTTACATGTTCATTAATCAGCTTATTTCTATTTTTACATGTTTCCTTATAAATATAGAATTCTTCCCAAGCATTCATTAAATATCCTTTCTTACAATTCTTTAAAGTACATAGACTATCCTCCATTACTATTGACTACTATTGAGTGGCCATTTTGTAAATAATTGTAAATAATTGAGAACCATTTGTGCATTAGGCCTACTGTTATTTGATTTTAATTTATTGTTGAGTCCAAATAACATTAGAAATAGTAAAAAAGGAGTGATGTTGTAAGTTCTCTTAAATATAAAATATCTAGGTTTTTTATCTTACCATTGAACAATAAGACAAATTTATCCTCTTTAATCGAGGAATTGCTTTCAACAATGCGTGCATTTTCAGGCTCTTCATGTTTTGGCTTTGATTAACTGTGTATTTTGATTTTGGTTTAATTTTTAATATTATATATAATGTACAACAGTAAAGTACTGAGAAATAATCAACAGTTTAATTAAAGAGGTGTCGTTGGTTGTACCAAAAAAAATTATGAAAAGAGACTTATAGATAGAAAAGAGTAACTTACGTTGGAGTGCATGTTCGTCCCCCTCAAAGACAGATTTTCTAGCTTTGTGTAATCCCTTGAAGGCTCTCAAAACCTAAAAAGTTCAACATAAATTGTATATTTGTCAAAAATATTTGCATAGTAAAATAAACAATAATTGTTCATGGAAAGTTTTATACAAAATGTTTTAGAGGTAAAAATATTAATAGCTAAGAGCTTTAAAGGCCAATGAATGGATTTTAATATCGTCTGATAACCACAGATTTTTCATCTATGGATAGAATAATGAAATATCTACAATATCTTGAGTCCAGGAGAAGAATCATGGATCTCGTCTTCTTGCACAAGATTATGAATGGTATGCTGGACTGCCTGGAATTGCTGGAAACATTCAACCTTCGAGATTCCCTTGTACAAGATCTAGATGTTTTTTCCAAGCATTTCCAAGCGACTGTCTACAGCTATCACAGTTGTGTAGGTCTACCTTGTGTTACCAGAACTGCCAAACGCACTTAAGATGACATACAACTGTTTGGGTCAACACCTGGAAGTTTTAAGAGGAGTTTTAATGGATTTCTTTTAAGACTTGAACAATAAAGAGGAGGAACCAGAGCCATATCACATCACATCTTAATATCTTAAGACATCACATATCTTAAGTAAAAGAGAGAGAGAGAGAGAGGGGGGGGAGGGAGAGAGAGAAATTCTTTATTTATAACAAAATAAATTTGTGCAGCAATACATATATAAAATATAAATATCACATGGGTCACAGTGACCTGTGCGTGATAGTGAAGAATAATCTATATTTTCTCATGTTTCAGCCTGTAACGTAAAAAGCAAAAATTTAAACGTAGTTTTTTAATTTTTCTTCAGAGGTATTTACCACGCAATCACAGTGGTATACCAGACATCAATCTGACTGTGACCAACACTCGAACCATATCGAAATAAAAGCCTCCACCTCAAACAATATTTGATTGTACTAGTATTATAACGTTCCACAAAGTAAAGAAATGTACCAGAATCAAAAGCAAGCAATTAGTATATCCACAGAAATTTTACAACAAATGTAAAAAGATGTGCACTTCAGTTTTTTTTCTTTATAATACAGGGCTTCCAGCTGGCCTGTAGAGAAGTTACCGATGTATTTACCGTTTCCGATATCCCAATGGTGGCCTCCTTGAGTTGATCACCCTGTATATATGAATTTGAACGGATGGTGTTTATGGCCTCTAGGGACCTCAAAACGAAAAATTAAATCGGTCCCGGGTCCAGGTGTTACCATGAGTACTACGGTAATAGCTTATTCCCTATATGGGAAATTCGCTAAAAACCTAATAGTTCTATAGAATAATATTACATTCAACCAGCTGTTAGTTAAAACAAACTATATTGGCTAAAACAAATCGATGATAACAAAGATTGCTTAAACTAAATAATTTGAACATCCTACTATTTTACTATGCATATTTAATTAATCTACCATCCTCATACCGAAGAATTGTATGTATCAATGGTCAGCATTACACATAGTATAAATAAGTCAACTCTAAATATGTCTTTAAATTTGTTTCCAAATGCTGAATTTGTGTCACAAATGCTGAATGTTAACAGCTGTTATGTTAAGCAAATTATATTCTACTAAAAGCTAGCTTAGAAGGTTAGCGTCGGCTGCTAGACTTTTTAAAAATTAAAACTTAATTTCTTAAACACTGGGACCCTTATTTATAGTTATGGCTTTGACATTCCCTAGTTCTCAAAATTATCTTTCTTTCAACACAAAAATCATGAAAATCCGTCGACTGGTTGATTCAGAATCGTGAAACAAAAACCCATTTTTACGTTTTAATATATATGATGATAGTTTTGACAGGTTTCAACCCTTCCGAGGCTTAATATATGTACACAGTTTATGTGTACATTATAACTCATAATATAGTTCTAAAATTAAATTAATCTCCTTTTACAAACGTATATAATAACCAGAAATTTTGAGATTGTCCTCAAGGTTATTGTTACCTCTTCTTAGGTGAAATATCTCTCGAACCAGAGTGTACCATACAGTTTTCAAAAACGAATGTGTAGCATATAATTATTAGCATCAATTTTTCCATTGACATAACATCCCTGACCAATACGTTAACTGATTCCGCGCTTACTAACTATTTCATGCCACACAGTTTGACGAAAGGTTTTTCATTACCTTAATATTCGAAAAATAACCTATACCTATTTACAGTTTTGACCAAACAGTTGGCAAGAAGCATTAATAGCTAAGCTATGTACCAAATTTGATCATTTTAGCTCTATTTTTAGTACTATAAGCGTTGCAGGAGGTCTACTTTACACTGAATCGAGGGCTTTTGACCTTCCGGCACTGTTGACTCAGTGAAACTGAACTTGTAATTTATCGTATTTTGTCATATCAAAACTGCTGTTGCATTAGGTCAAATTCCCAATATGTCAATCGCTTTAACATAGACTACGTTTTTAGCACAGACTGTATTATTTGACTTACTGGGATTTTTGACCTACAGACACTGCAAACATTGTAGTTTTTGACCTATCGGCACAAGTATAAATTATTTTACCTTCCGGCACTGTTGACTTCCAGCAACATTCCCTTTTAAAGTTCATATTTTTATGAGTAAACTGGCACATGTTGCACTATTCTATATCAAATGGTTCTCGAGTTATACACGTTTTAGTAAACGGCGCCCCCACCATATCTCCCCCCCACCCCCCGGGAATGTCGACCACGGTGGGGGGCGACAAAATGCGTTTTCATGATCACTATAGTGCCTATAACAACAATCAGAAATAAAATTGTGTCAGCCTTTCTATGCATACTATATCCTGGACTATAAAGTTTTTATAGGCAATGTGTTTATGAGAGAAATAATGTGTACCTATACACCAAATATATTAGTTTTGTGATATCTGTTGATCATCTAAACACAAAAGCAAACCATTTTACCTACCTGAAAAATGTGTACTGAATTGGAGAAGCTTACTGAAGGAGCAAAAAAACAGAAGACTCAAACCATAGACAAATAGAATTAAATATAGAACGAAAGCAGTGCTGCAGTTAGCATAAGTTTGATTCATCGTTCCAAAAAGCGTGTTATCCCAAGACACGCTCCCTTTGGTTTTTACTTGATCTTAAAATTTGTCTTTTAAAATCAATTTACAGCTTTAAGCAATACAAACTCACAAATCAACTTCCTGCCTGTTGGAAATACTGATGAATTGTTCAAAAGATTCACTTCTGAAAACATCGACTAGGCTATCGATAACTTACTCATCCCTAATAGCAAGTTCAAAGCTTCACTAATGGTTCTATGGTATGATAGGTAGAGTACCTATGTTGTTTGTCAGCTTTAGAATGGTTTATAGTTATTTGTGCAACTAGTGAGAAAAGTGAGCAATTGACTCACTGGAGAGAAATCCTTACTCACGAGCCGTAGGTGAGTGAGGAATGGTTTCTCGAGTGAGGCAATTGTACTTTGAACTCGAGTTGCACATTATACTTTTCCTACAGTTACCATAAAACAAATAAATTGGCGAAGAAACATAACCTATTTTTACACAGAAGTGAACTTTTAATATAACATTTAATGTGAAGTGACAAATACAACAGTACAACAGCTGACCAGCTGATTTACAGCCAGTGCTGCCAACGTATTTCGCGCGCATGACGTTGCCTGCATGTTACGTGCTCACTATTTCGTGCCTTCACGTTGCAAATCTGGAGTGAGACAAAGTAAATTAGGGTGAGACAATGTTAACATTGTCTCACTGATGAGCGAATAGGCCACTTTGCTTTCTCAAATCAGTGAGAGAACATGTACATTGTTAGGTAACTGAAGGAAAAAATATATCATTTATACCAAAACAGTTAAATACAATTTGTTTTTGTTACTAAGCCCAGGCATACTAGGCCTACCTTATGCAAAACGTATTTTACTTTTAGACAGTCCTAGTAAACCATGGTCTCAACATCAGCAGTTATCTTCATTGTTTTAGGTGAACGTTAAAAATGGGAATTATTAATAAAACCTAGCCTATTGTGATAAAGTAGTATTATTAATTAAATGCTTCTTACCTCTCTCCTTAAATGGGAAGTCATCATAAGGAACTGTTATAGGGATAGAACCTTATCTTACGAGAACACTTTTTCAACCAAATTGGAATGATTTATTTGGTAAGGGACCAGTTATTACCCAACGGTGTTGGTGTTTATGCGTTGCAGTTTGAGTTTGAGGTTAGGCTTGGTTTGACTGGTTGGTGTGTTTTTGTTTTGGTTGAATTTGACCGAAGTGAAGGTTACAGACGACGCTATATAGCCAGCACCCAGCACGCACGAGCCAGCACAACAGACATTGATACCAACGTAAATCATTTAAGCTAGTATTCTTGATTTCATATAGCATTAATTACTAGTAAAAAGTATCTATGAGTCAAACCCAATAAGCTAGTATAAGCCTATTTAAAATGTCCCTTAAGTTAAGTTAGAGTTTATGTCCGGAAACTCATATTAACGCAAAGTCTTTCTTTAAAGTGGTGCACTGACGGGGTCACGGCACGGCCACCTTTAACTACGGGTCGTGGCATGGTAGAATTGGCAACGTCGCAAGTGGTGTTGTTTAGTGACAGTCGTCCCATAAGATAAAATGGCAGACAGGTGTATCACATTCCTCAAAGCCACTGATCATAAAATGCGGGATTATAAGCCATGGGAGCTCTCTTGATTAGCTAAATTGTTGAATGGTATGACCATTTTGTAGCTTTATTTTTTTTATTTTATCATAGATAAAACAGATTTTATTTAATAAACTAACGGCTTTTAATGACTGTGGAAAGCAGTCTGACACATCGTGCATATACCAATATAATGCAACTTTCTTCATTTCATAGGGGTAAATAAAATCCCATGTATTTATAACATGGCAAAGCAAATGAAATCTCGGTATTTTATAGATAAACATGCTTTGTGAAATTGTGGATGCACTTATTGGTGTTTGTGTTTGTTTGGCATTTTAGGTTTTATTCAAAGTAAATAGGATAAATTATATACAGAATGTATATAAATATTAATCCTCAAAATACAAATTTTATACTGCCAGAAATCATATTTTTTATTGGAACTATTTAAATACACTTTATGTATATACTGTATTCCATTTACTTTAAAATTGTAGCCTACAATGCCAAACAAACGAAAAAAAACAATAAGTGCAGCTATAACGTATGTTTTTGTAAAATACTGTATGTTACAAAACAGACGATTAGACGTACTAAAAATATAAACTGGCTAAAATAGCAAGTTCGTGAAAGATACCAGATGATTTCTTAAAGGCAAATGATTCCAGCGTTCCAGCTGTTAATCGACATTTCAATTTACAATCTAAAATCAAGAGATTCAAGAGAGATTCAAGAGATTCAAGAGATTTATTATACCATTAAGTAAACAAATACAATAGGTAACGTCAAACTATTCTAAAATAAACAAACCAATGCATATAAATAATGAAAATGTTCATCATTAGAAACCATGCTGAAAAAAAAATCATCCAGATTATTAATTTATAAATTTAATTGTTGAAATATTTGTATTTAAATGTAAAAGATACTATCTCCAGCCTTGGTTTTGAGTAAATAATTGTTAAAGAGAAACAATCTGCTTAGACTCTCAGACCTTTTTTAATAATCTATGGCTAAATCTGCTATCAAATCAAGGGAGAAAAAAAGAGAATTGGTCACAGGGTGTTTGTGAACTCTCTCGAAAAAATTCACAGGGTTATTCCTTGGGTTAATACATGAATATTTTACATTATAAACATGGGTCGCCGGAGCCTCGTTTTCTGTCTGTCTGTCTGTATGTGTTTTTTATAAATAACTTTATAACTCGAGTTTGAATCGAGGTACAAACTTTAAATTTTACACACTTGTGTATTTTAACGTGTTAACACAAACATGCAAAATTTCATTTCGTTGACTATAGCCGTTTCAAAATGGCGGCCATCTAAAATCTTTGACCTCAAATTACATGAAAACCACTAGAGTTACAAAAAAAACACAAGAATGACAAAATTTAGAAAATTTTATGCCAAATCAAATGACACCTAGATCTTAAAGATCGGACAACAAACAGCTGAGTTATAAACTTTTTAAATAATTAATAATTTATTTACTGGCTTTTAATTCTTAATGTTCTTATTCTTCGATCACATTGCGTATACCTCATCATGTGACCACAGCTTATGGCAGGGCTTTTGTTGTTACAGCTTGTCGTCTGTGGAACGGCCTACCCCTACACATTAAGACCCTTGAAAAACGTTCCCAGTTTGTGGCGGCACTGAAAAAGCTCTATTTTGAGAAGATGGTCTCGGCTGGCGTGTCCTAGGGCTACTGTTACCTTGCGCGTTTGCTGATGCGTGTATGCGAGAGTGTGTGAATGTGTATTTCTATTTGTTAAATTTTTATGTTTTTTTTAGATATGTAGGTACTTGAATTGTTAAATATTTTATGTTTAATTAGATTAAGTTATCCCTATGTCACATTATTTTTGTTATATTTTTAATGCCAGGTTAAGTGTAAGAAAGGGCCATGTGGCCCTAACTTTGCCTGAAAAATAAAGGATTTTTCATTTCATTTCATTTTCATTTCATTGTTTATTCTTTAAAATCATCTGATTCAGAGTACATTATGTTACCTTAAACAGATCTCAATAGTTAAGGTAAAAATAGGACACTTAATACATTTACCATCTAGTAAAAAAACTAAATGTTGTTGTTAGGGCAAACCAGCTGTCTTACGTTGTTGTAACAATTTAGAAAGGATCAGATGATTTTAAAGATTATATAGACAATAACAATTAAAATCCAGTAAAGAAATTATTAATTATAAAAAAAATTAATAACTCAAAATAATCATGTGATCATCATCTCAAAATCATATGTCCAACCAGCTGTCTTACATTGTTGTGACAATTTAGAAAGGATCAGATGATTTTAACCCTTTGATGCCCAAACATAGATGTAGATAAGAAAATATTTTTTATTGTTGATAACTACACTCTTTGGTGGCTAACATATTAGAAAAATATAAGTTTTAACATTTTTGAGGTTTAATAAAAAAATAATAATCATGAGGAAAATAATACTCATTGGGCAGTAAAGGTCTTATAATAAGCAAATTAAATTGACAAGAATTGTGTTTTTATTAAGATTTTATTTGTTATATTAAAAATAGAGAGTGATATTCATACCGAAAATTATATAGCAAATAATAATACAAATGCTTGCTAATGTTAATACACAATTTTTAAATTGCAAAAGAACATTTTCTGACCACAAGGGAATTTTTTTAAATACATTTTATAATATTTGCTTCACATGTTCAAGTAAAATTATGTAAAAATACAACTGCCCACTGTCCAGATTGTTTACTAATCTAATCAAAATAATATTATTTGTAATATTCTTAACCCTCCAAATCTTCTAATTCCTCGATATCAGACAAATACCCTCGCAGCAATTCTTCTATTTCAGAGTGTGTATGGTATTGTTTAAAAATCCATATTCTCGATCTAAAACATAAATATAATGCACTAAATTTAGTATGTTATAAAAATATAGGTGTTAATACAATATTATATTTTTTATATTGCTGGAAATGAAAATATCAAAATATAAGACATCTTCATTAGACCTGAGCCGCAACTGTCCAATAAGTAAAATTTTATTCATTAGACCTGAGCCGCAACTGCCCAATGAGTAAAATTTTACTCATGGGATTTTTACATCATAACATTTTTACAAACATTTATAACTCGTGGTAAATTACATTAAACTAATATCTATGAAATATTTAACAAGAAACATATTTTTTTATTTCTGTAAAAATGAAGGAACTTACCGAAAAAAATATCCAAAGTTAAGCTTCTGAAGAAAGCAGGCAGAACAGAGCATGGCACAAAACAAACAGACTTTTAGTTGAACCAGGCAGTTGATCAGGAATTCCAGTGCTGCCAATACTATTTGAAAACATCATAGTGTATAGTGAAGGAAGTTGAAATTCCCTACTTCATAACAAATTTCCCAGACTCCAGCACAAATGTCATGAGTAAAAAAGTTATCATTGGGCACGAAAGGGTTAAAGAATAAACAATAACAATTAAAAGCCAGTAAAGAAATTATTAATTATTTAAAAAAGTTTATAACTCAGCTGTTTGTTGTCCGATCTTTAAGATCTAGGTGTCATTTGATTTGGCATAAAATTTTCTAAATTTTGTTATTCTTGTGTTTTTTTGTAACTCTAGTGGTTTTCATGTAATTTGAGGTCAAAGATTTTAGATGGCCGCCATTTTGAAACGGCTATAGTCAACGAAATGAAATTTTGCATGTTTGTGTTAACACGTTAAAATACACAAGTGTGTAAAATTTAAAGTTTGTACCTCGATTCAAACTCGAGTTATAAAGTTATTTATAAAAAACACATACAGACAGACAGACAGAAAACGAGGCTTCGGTCCGGCGACCCATGTTTATAATGTAAAATATTCATGTATTAACCCAAGGAATAACCCTGTGAATTTTTTCGAGAGAGTTCACAAACACTCTGTATATTCCTCCTATTACTTCCTTTCCCTCTCCACAGTCCACACTCTCACTGGCTGATTCTGTCTGATTGGTCGGAGGTCGCTTTGATTGCTTTCTTGCTCAGCCTCAGCCAACAGAACAGATCGCTTTGCTTTGCTTTCGTTTAGTTTTAGTTCTCGTTCTCGTTCTCGTGTTGGAGTTTGGAGTTGGAAGCCATCTTACCAACTGAAGTACAAGTTGATGTATAGTTTAAACTGCTATTTTTGAGAAAGATTTTCGGAATATTTATACATAATATTGTGACTAACTTTCGTTTAATAATAATATTTTACTGGATATGAACATTTTTAACACCCAGATGTACTAAAAATCTTCAAAGAGGATCAGCAGCTCGTACTGGTAATAACATAATGGAGGATGGTAGTCCATCCAACGAAGCATAGTTTAGCAAAGGGACATAATTTAATATCTTTTAATATAGTTGCCGAACATAGATGTAGTAGAATTTTTGAAAATCTATTCATATACTTGAGCTAGCCACGTCTTTATCACCATCATTATCGTCATGTACCGGAGGAGCCCTTTTTAAAGCAAGCAAAATTGAAGTAGGACTTGTAGGCCTAGTCTGCCATCAAGTTGGTAACTTAGTGAGTTTATTCTGAAACAACAATTACCATTGGAGTTCTGATGCTTAAGTTCAAGAGAGGAATAGTGGGGCCTACTGGCTCCTGCATTGAAGTTATATTTTTTCGTAATTATTTAGACCAACTTTATTTAAAGGAGCTAAGTTTAGGCTTAGGCCTATGTCCAAGTTAGATAAGTTTTTAAGAGAAGCCTTAGGGCTGTTAATACAACAAGTTGGTTCATTTTTCATTTTTTGGGAGAAGTTATGCCCAAAGTAGCCTAAGGCTACATTAAGTTATACAAAGCTCTTAAGTTACCATGCTGTTCAAGAACACAGAGGATACGTGTCCGGTAACCGGACGTGGATTAGGCGTCCGGCAGTGATGTCAACGGGTTGTGAGGGCCTGGAACGCCATTACCACAACGATACGAGTACAGCCATCGGTGTTCGAGGTGTAGTGGACAGAGTGCTCGGCTGATATGCAAGAGGTCCCTGGTTCGAATCCCATCAGTAACTTTAACTTTTTGTCAAAGATTTTGCTTTGAATGCCATTTCATCTTAACAGTACATCTTTTGTTAGAATTTTTGGCATTAAAAATTTTATTTTATGAACAGAATTTAACCTTCATTTGATTTTTTCATTATAAGCAAGTTTGGTTAGTTAGGTTAGGTTATGACAGTAACTGCCGTACGCCTAATCCACGTCCGGTTACTGGACGCGTATCCTCTGCGGTTAAAAAAAGGCAAAGGTGTAAATGATGATTTTATTAGCAATTCGGTACAAATAATACAATAAGTATGCATGCATTGTGGTATTTATTTGCTACTTAGGTGCCTCCACACTATTTTATTTTTATTTTGATAGGCCTATCTTATTACTTTAGTTTTTTACCTCCTGAATCCAAATATAGCCTGGACCATCATTTTTCACCGCTGATGAATATTACTCGAGATATCGCTGTAAAAATATACAACATTAGAATAAACAAGGTAGGGCGGATGACATTTTCAAGGGGAATGTGGAATTAATTGTGGGTGAAGTAAGCATACAGCTGATTGTTTTCTAATAGCCTATTAGGCCTAACCATATATTTTTATAACTGTGAAAAAAATATTATGAAGTGTAGCATGCACACCTGTTTCTATATTAAGCCTACTAAGTATAACTAGTCTGCTGTTTTCCGCAACTTTAAAATTGTGTTATTTTTTTACATATAAGTTCTTAACTTATAACTTTTTAACTATTAAAGCTATGAATGAAATTTTTACCATACACCGTACGTTGTTTATACTATAAAGCAGCTTTTTGTGCATGGATATTGTAATAAGTTAATTAATTACTTAGGAATTAAAATTCTTTATGAAGCCATAACTCAAAAAACTCATGAAGTCTGGAAAAAAATATATTTTTTATTGTGGAAGTCATGAAGGGTATCAGCTTCTACAATATCATGAAACCGTGAATGATTGATTGATAATAATATATCTGTAAAATTTCTCTTCCGAATATGATTGCAAGGGCTTCTTCAACTGAGGAAAATTCATTTGGACTCCAAGAAGTATACACAACAGGTCGGACGTACTTACTTACTTACTTCATACTTCTTCCCTTCATCTTTGACCAGTGATACTGGATAGATGGCGTCAGTAATACTTTTAAAACTAATGTTTAGGAACTGAACAGAACAAAAATTTAAATATTGAAAAAACTGTACACTATTTACACATTTTGGGTTGTATGTTTGGCGGCAGGTCTTTACCGAGCTAGGCCTTAGATATTTTGGGTCTCTGCTTTATAATTCTCCTCAATGGAGTAGAAAGGATTTTTCCTCAACAATCGTTCTACCCGAGTCCTGAACTTCCCGACCTCCAGATTTCTCACACTAGTTGGGAGCGTGTTGAAGAATTTTAGTGCCAGGACTGGGAAGCATTCCTTCTCTCTACTCAGCCTACAATAAGGGATATCAATCTTTTCCCTCCCTTGGGTGTTATACGGGTGCAGGTCCCCTCTCATAGTAAGTGAAGATAGGTTTTCCTTGACATAAAGTAGGCTAAGTAGAATGTATTGGCTAAACACGGTGCAGACTTCGAGTTTTATAAATATAGGTTTGCAGTGGTCTAGAAAGCTACCCGAGTCTATGATTCTCTAGGCTTTTTTCTGCTCGAGTAGGATATTATTGCATCCCGATATGTGTCCCCACAGCTGAAGCCCATACATAATATGACTGTGAAACAGTGCATAATAATAGGTGCTCCTTAGATAGTAGAGGCTTTAGGCGCCTCCGTCAGGTATAGTGTGAGACATAATTCCGGCAATCCTATAGTGTGAAACGAACATCTTTCAGAAACAATTGAATTTTATGGTGTATAATTACCATTTTATCAAGCCTTTACCAAAATGACATATGTTTCATCAACTTTATTTGCCATAAGGTTTTAGTAAGCGATAAGTTTTTTACAACAACTTTAAAAAATGTGTACTTAGTCTCCATAACAGTAGAAATAGCTGCACTTTGTTCTGTTTCTTTTACAGAATTTGTTTTATGTACAACCGAGACCTTTCTAAATAATTACTAAGACCTTCAACATCTTCATTAAATTCTGATAATTTTTACCGGTTACTGCTATTTATTTTGTATCTTAACTTAAATGTCTATAAATATAAGTACTTACCTAAAAATTTTTCATAGACCTAGCCTGCTCCACAAAAGATAACTCTCATTTGCGTTTGACTAAATTAATTTTCATTTTTTTATCTTCTATAAAACCCATTTAAAATATGTCTTAGCTTCGTGAGAAAAATACATGCTGCAACTCATTTTCCAAAGCTATAAAATTTCCACCTAGGGTTTCCTGCAAAGTGCTTTGTCTGAACAGGCTAGTGTACAAAGATCTGTAGGCTTACTAACATGGAAATTGAGAATAATTACCATATTTCTAGAAATACCTTGCCTATATAGTTTGTAAAATACATTTGATTTTTTTCAGATTTGATTATAAACACAATTTAAAATATTCGTTAACTTTCACACTTTTGTGAAAACTGAACATGTGACTTTCTAAAAGGTTTGAATACCTGCTATTAAGCAATCCAACGTTGTTGTAAACACAACTAGTTTCTGTGCCTACAACCCTACAACAATCCTACAATGATGTGACTTTCCTCTCCTCAATTGATGCTGAACTGATTAATATTTCAAATCAATTGTTTTATTATTTATAAAGTCAATAAGAACTTCCACTATCTCGTCACCAAATTTTTGAATATAATTTAGAGGAGGAATTACAACCCCTGGAATGCATGGATAGTACCCGCAATGTTTCTGGTTTCGTCCCGGACTTCAGGCGGTGTGATGTCGAGGCTGTCTACATTGAACTCAGTAGAGAGCTTGGAACCACTTACTACAATATTATTGATATAAACAGCTTCTTTGACTCATTTGTCTCCACTATTCGTGAAATCATCCTAAGGCATACATCTATGAAGAGACTTAGGCCCATCAAAATTTCCTTGCTGGTTCGATAGCCAATTGAAACAGCTCACAATCATGAAGAAGGCCATGCATTCCAAATTTAAAGCCTCTCAATCACTGCATGACTACGAAGAGTTTTCCCGTGTTCGTCGCCTTTGTAAGACCTTAAGCAGAGATTGCTATGCACAATACATTGATCGAGTTAATAACTCTACTCCACTTAACATAAGGTCTTTTTGTGGCTTTGTAAACAGCCTTAAATCAAATAGTAGCTGCTTCGATTGTTTCAACTACCACGGTGAGAAGGCCGAACGTCCTGAAGATATTTCCAACCTTTTTGGAGTTTACTTTTCATCAGTTTACCAGCAGTCAGCAGTGACTCCTCCAGTTTACGATTTCAAAACTCACCTGAATTTGAACTCCTGCAGACTAAGTTGTAATGACGTTCAAAAGAAGCTGCATCTCTCGATCCTTACAAGGGAACGGGGCCTGTCCTAATACCTCCATCTGTACTGAAGTACTGTAATATGCTACTGGCTCCTCAATTGACGCACATCTTCAATCTTTCACTTCAAGAAGGAATCTTTCCGGATACATTAAAAACCAGCTTTGTTGTCCCCATTCCCAAAGTCCAAAACTCTTCCGATGTAAGTGACTTCAGGCCGATTGTCATTCAACCCACCTTGGGGAAGGTATTTGAAAGTCTCGTTTTAGACCAAATAAAGCCCCTTTTTGACAACCTCCTCTCAACTCACCAGCATGGGTTCTCGACTGGCAGGTCAACCTCGTCCAACCTAGTAATCTACCAGAATTTCCTAGTTTCCAATGTGTCGATGGGACTTCAGGTCGACAGCATTTACTTGGATTTCTAGAAGGCTTTTGATCGTGTTAACCACCAGATACTACTTTCCAAAATGGCTGGTTATGGAGTCACTGGACAACTCTTGAAATGGTTCCGTTCATACTTGGATAACCGGGAACTTTTTGTAAAGTTTCAACAATCAATTTCTAAACCCTTCACTGCAACATCTGGCGTCCCTCAAGGCTCACACATGGGTCCATTTCTGTTCTCATTATATCTTAATGACATCATAGAACTCATGGATGTGGATAAACTGTTATTTGCTGATGATATTAAGATTTTTACGGCCATTTCTTCCATTGAAGATTGTACAACACTCCAGAACTGCCTCAGAAGGATATGCGACTGGTGTGTCTCAAACAATATGAGTCTCAACATCAAGAAATGTATTGCAATCACCTTTAGCCATAGCAAGAGACCTATTATCTTCAACTATACCATCGATGGCAGTGATATTCCTAGGAGGACCTCAGTTCGTGACCTCGGGGTGGTGTTCTCATCAAACCTCACATTTCTTGACCATATGAGTTGGTTTGTGGCAAGGCATCAAGGGCACTGGGCTTCATTATTCGCACCTCTAGACATGGTCTCAGCATCACAGCGCTGAGGTATCTCTTCATCTGCCTTGTTCTCTCAGTACTTGAATATTGCAGCATTGTGTGGGCTCCCTATGCAATTGGACAAATCGACCGCCTACAGAAAATCCAAAGAAGGTTTCTTTGAGTTGTTGGACTCAAGATGGGTTATAACTATGCAACAATTCCCATCAGCGACATTGAAATTCAATTGGGACTACAATCTCTACATTTGAGAAGAGAATTAGCTGATGTTTCTCTTCTCGTAAATCTTTTAAATGGTGATGTTGTATGCCCTGAGCTACTTGGTCGGATCAACTTTCAAGTTCCGGGAGGAACTCGCTCAAGGAACCTCTTCGCTGTTCAAGCCTACGCCAACAACTATGAGCACAACAGTGTGATCCCCCGTCTCCATAGGATTGGGAACCTCCTGTCCCCTCACGTTGACCTTTGGAACACCTCAGTTGTGACCGCCAAAAAAATTTACATAAATCTGAAAAGTTAACTGCATTCACTGCCTGTATTATTGTCCGTATTTATTTATTGCATGTTAATGTTTGAATTCTATTGAGCGTTTTTTATTGCCTGTTATTCTATTGCCTCTGTATTTTATTGCCTGTTGTTCTATTGCTTCTGTATTTTTATTGTCTGTTATTTTTTTGTATGTATTTTATTGCCTGTTATTGCTTGCCGTATTATAGCCTGTTAGTTATAACCTGTCATTATAGCCTTTCATTGCCTGTTATTGCTTGCCGTATTTATAGCTTGTATTTATAGCCTGTTATTTTTAGTCTTTCATTGCCTGTTATTGATTGTTTTTTTTTCTGCATTTCCTGTTATTATTGTCTGTTGTTTTCATTGAATATCATACTTACCCAAAGTTTTTTGAAGTTCAGTTTTGTTTTACTGTAGCCTATATTAATTGCATTAGTAATCTAGTGTCGTTCTTAATTATGACATCTTGTAATTGATTATGCTAACTACTATTGTATAAATGGTGTTACCGTGAATAAATAAATAAATAAATAAATAAACCCCAAAAAGAGCACATTTCTACTTGTTATTGACTAACTGTGCTTGTTAGAAAGTGAAGTGAATCCTCTCCAGCTCTAGGTCTTGGTCTTTTTGATCTCTTACATTTACATGCAGACTTGCATTATATTTTCTGTTTCTCATCTCCAAATTGTATTTGGTTTGTTGAAATTGAATATTTTCTTCTATTATTTAGTTAAGAGTTAGGCTATTAAATTTAAATTAATCAAACCTTGAGTGCCAGTGCCTATTGCTCTAACATGCAAGAACTCAATACCATTATTTACTCCTTTAAGTTTCATTGGATTTAATCAATAAAAAAACAAGCAATTTATCCAGACCATATTACAAAACTTAATGTGAACTGTATTACTGTAAACGTAATGTTTCCGTAATTGTGGTAGACGATGGTGATAGATAAACGACCACGGGAGAAGTACAGGATTTTGCAGAAAACTTTGATGACATTTGTGTGATCACGGGTGATATTCAGGTTTTAGCTGTGATGGCGGAATGATGATAATAACGTTTCCGTAACCTTGGAAGACAACGATGATATTCACACGACCGCAGTAGGTATTCAGGATTTTTCTCCGATCTTGGATGACAATGGTGACGTTTCCGTGACTGCAGGAGCCAATGATGATGACTACACAACTGCAAGAGATATTCATCGCCCCGATCGCAGATGGGGATTATAGGTCTAACGTTTCTGAGACCGTCGTTACTGAAAATCTTTGACGACTTAGATGATCTTCAATGAACTTAGGCACATTAAAATTGGACTAGTTTTTTTTTTTTTTTTTTTTGCCTGGGCAGATATAGTAAAACTATTTACTTAGTCGTTATTGTTATTGTTTTACTTTGTCCAATAGAAATTTAACTTTTTTTACTTACTGGAAAGTGTAGTATTACATTTTTTTTTGTTCAGAAGTACCGGTACTGATTTATTGTCAATGACTAACTTACAGGGCCAAACTTAAAACCTGATAACTTGATAATTAGTGATTCTAGTAGTTACAACCAGTCCAAGTGTTCAACAGACAAAGATAAATAATATAGGCAGTTCAACGTAAAAGATAAAAACAACAAACACGGTTCAAAGCTATTTGATGACAAGAAGAACAACAACAACAACAACAACAACAACGAATGTTCATGCATCTGATATTGCATTGCCAATATAACTACCTAATGTTAAAGAAGGATAAATGGTAGTTTTATGTACGGTAGCTGTTGAATGAAATGAACAGTGATTGTGAGGGGTTAAAGGCAAAGTACAAAGCATTAGAAACTTATGATAACATTTCTTTGTCCTCAGATAACTCAGTAGGAATAGGGACAAATGAACTAATAACCAATTTATTTAGTTCATGTAGTGAAAACAACAACATTTAAGGCCACATCCTTGGTTCCTGTCAGAATTGAATACTGTAAATTATCACAGGAAGAAGTGTTTGAGAAACCTTTTTTACCAAAGATAAAGGATGAAGGTTCATTACTTGAACTCAGTTAATATTCAGGTTATTTACATTGATGATCGCGAAGATGAAGACAAAGGATAAGTTATCCTGCTCTCAGTTTGATACTGATTGTATTACAAATGTGTAAGCGGAAAAACAAACTAATGTTAGAAAAATGCTGATTTGGCAGGCATAAAACAAATGATCAACATAAACGCTTCTTGAAAAGATCTAGAGATTCTGGATATTGAAGAAAAAAAATATGTTTCGAAACTGGCTTGCATTTCTTGCAAAAGTGTTGGTCAGTCTCCATTAGCCTCATTATGGAGTTGATCTCAGAACATAACAATTTCTTTCATCCCTATTACTGAATCTATTCATGCAACACATTGTTCATCAGTAAGTTACATACCAAGAATCTACATACATTTTTTGTTGTTTGTTAATTTGCTTATCCGCTTACATATTCGTATTACAAAAAGTATTAAAGAACCGAGAGCAAGGTCACTATCTACTGTTGCCATCTTCATCATCGCCAATGTAAATAACCTAAATATTGACTAAGTTCAAGTAATGAACCTCTTCTTTTATCTTAAGTAAAAAGGTTTCTCAAACACCTATTCATGATGATATTACTCAATAATTCAGTTTTTCGGTCGATCTAGTTTCTGCAGTGTCCAGGCTGCATATAAGTCAGACTGACTAAGTTGTAGCCAATGTTCAGCCATACAAACCAATGAAATCTGTTAGAATTTCTACCTTGTTCCTCAGACATTGCACTATGACACTGCTTTCACCACCAGCAAGCTTTGATTTAATTTTTGTTTTGAATTGGGCCAGTGATATTAGTATTAGTGGGTTAGTCCTTTAGATTTGTCATCCTAAATAGAAGACATTATTTTGGTTTCGGTTGTGACTAGATGGGAGGAAAGTGTTTTAACTATGTCAGCACCGGGTCTCTCTGGAGAACTCTAGTCTAGATCAAAGCTTTGAATCTTGTCTTGGATAGGTCTGCTGTTCAACTCGAGAAGTTCACTGTCTTTGGTAGAGCTTACCGGAAGAGGCTCGTCTTAAATTGGTGTACAGCTCAGGTGGAATTTGAGAAAACAGATTATTATTTGTTGGAGTTGCACCTCAAATCATCCCCTCTTTTTATCCTTACTGTATATGTGTCCACCTAAAATTAAATTTAAAATCATTTAAATGTTTGTGTTCATAAGATTAGGGAAAACAGAAATAAACCACCAAGTAATAGAGTTCAAAGGTTTGGTTCCTCAAAGTAATTTCCCACCCTTCTGTTGCAGGTTACATTTGATTGATCAACATTGACTATGGTATCTACCAGGCTACAAAGCACTACAGGAGGTGATAATGAAGGCTCATCTCGCGGAGTTAGACACGGCAATGGACCTCATGTGTCTCACGAGCTAACACCCTACTCTGCTCATCCCTCCAGCCCCCATCCATCGCAACAATATGTATCTAATACTCATTTCTTGGATCTTCCCAGTGACTGTATGGAGAAGATCTTTGGCTACCTGGGCTATAAGCAGGTGTCTCAGTTGAGATTGGTAAGAAGTTCTGCTGTTAAAATTATGTTTTTGGTAAAAAATATCTGTACATTGAAATTGGCCGGATTGTATACATTTTTTGTCACATGTCTTGAAAATGACAACCAACCTGTGTACTGTATGATTTTCAAACCTTGCCTATAATGCTCAGAAAGAAGCTAACTAATATTGACTTTAAAAATGCATAGTTAAGCTTTTAATACGGGTTTTTGTTATAACAACGTTTTTAATGCAGTGTAGATACCTTTTACCTTTGTTTCACACACGTCTAGATTTATATCTTAAATATTAGAGAGGCTATATATAGGCCTATTTACTCTTACTCCTGTGGACACTCAAATCTAAGTTGATTTTGGCCTCACCAACAAGTTTCCTCCAGACTCCTCTGTCTTCTGTCATGTTTTAGAGCGTCATCAATCTGCTGTATGGTTAATCCTATTGTGAATAGTCTGCTGTTAAGTCAAAATTAAATATAGGCATATTGTAATTGCTGTGTTAACTAGCCTTCAATTTACACACCATCATGATATATAATTTCATATTCAGTATAAATCACTGTTGAGATACAAGAATGAAATAAAGAAAACTATGCCGAACATGTTTCCTAGAAAGTGAATACCTCAATTGAGAAATGTCCTTTCACACTGTGAATTCAGATTTTTCTCTAATTTTCTTTACATTTACTTGTTACATCAGTGCGATAATAGTTGCGATTTTGTTTTGCAGGTGTGTAAACAGATGGACCGCGTCTGTAGTGCGATCTTGAACTCGACTTTCCAGAAACTGCAAACACAAATGTTACACCGCTTCCAAGATATCAAGTCCAAGATGCCAAGACGGGAAAGTGCACGACGCAACCACCCCCTGGCGTGCGAGAGTGACATTATAGAGACGCTCCACATGCGGCTCACTTTACTGCAGATGTCCTTCGGGAAGCATATCGAGCGAAAACATGTTTGCTTTTTCGCTGGCGAGGTATGTGGAATATTTACAGATTCCTTCGCAGCCTTATAGAGCCTAAGTCCAAAGATTTTCACTCTTTGAAATTTTGAATCTTGAAACCAATACCAAAGGTTAAAAAATTCTCTTAAGTTATGTTACATAACCTCAAAAAATCCCAAGAAATGCTAAAATGCTCTGTATATTTAACTATTTCTGACCATTTTTATTAGTGATGGGCGGATCCAAGAAAATGTCGGTACCAGGTCCGGATCTTGAAAAAAACGGATCCAAATACAGATACGTTTTTTTATTTTTTCAAGGTCGGGTTTTTTAAATAAAATAATTCATATGGCTAGGCAATGTCAAAGACTTGCTGTGTCCATATAAAAACACTTAATATGTGCCGTTACTGAAAACAGTTATCACAATTCTACGTTGCGCAATGATTATCTGATTATCGATCGTAATTTTGAGGAGATACGAAAGAAACAAACTACCACCTATCGCGTTGTCTTTCTAACACAGCTATTTGTGTCTGTGTCATAATCTTCAACGCAGTGCGAGCGCGTGATTGGTTCGTCGCTATGACGACACACGGTTGCCGTGACAACCTACAGTGCGCACTGAGCACTGCGCCTTGTGTGGGAGGGGAGATTATACCAACAAACTATTTTAGGAATTCCATTTTGGGACGGATGAAAGATAAGGATGAAACAAAAAGTGGTCACGTGTGCAAATGTAGTGGGCGAGACAATAAGGCTATAAACGAGTATTGTCACGTCGTTGTTCCTTGTTTGTTCACTTTTTCAGATTCCCTATCAAACGCCCCTATCTGCTATCTCTCTCTCTCTCTAACGATGTACTGATTAAACGGATTGTGGTTGACGACTTTTCTACTTATAAGTTTCCCTGCGGTTATTTTAGTTCAATCAATCCCATAACCTTTCTATCGTTTATCAAAATAATTAATTAATGTGTTTTGTATTTTATTTCCTTTAAACCAACCCCTATTTACCATCTGTATTTTATAGAATAAAATGTTTGTTTATAAAGTTTGACTGGCCACACAATTTTGTACCTATTTTATTTTGTATAAAGTAACAGATACTTTGATGATTGTATATATATATATATATATCAATAAGTGCTGCGTGCTGTAATGAATGCTTTTTATTATCAAAATAAGTAATGAATTATTAATTTTTGATAATACATGGGTCATTGAATACCATAATGTCACGTAGTTTCCTATTTGTAACTTGCAAATAATAATAATTGATTGTTAATTCTTGAAAATGGAAAATAGTGAACGCATTCATAGACTCAATAAGACTCAATAAGACTCAATAAGAATTTATTAATGCCATTAAACTTAGTACAGTAATAGGCAACGTCAAACAGTACAACAAATAGGGTTGTATGTAGCATTTTTGAGTGTTTCAACTTAGATACTACTTTATCCACATGACATTGATGGCTTAACTTACAAGTTTAAAAAATCTTCTACAGTGTAAAAGGCATTTGTTTTTAAGAATGTCATTACATACGATTTAAAATTGTTTACAGACAGAGTTCTAATTTCTAATGGTAACTTATTGAACAATAGATACTGTTGATAATGGTAACTTTTGAAGGTTTTACTTAATCTAATATAAGGTGTAACAATATTGTGCTTAGTTCTAGTGTTGTGATGATGATTGCTGTCCTGCATGGGAAAGTTAACTAAATTTTCTTTTACATACATAAGGTTGGAAAAAATATACAGTGATGGTAAAGTTAAAATATTGAGCTGAATAAAACTAGGTTTACAAGATTCACGTTTAGTAAGACCCATAATAGTCCTGATAGCTTTTTTTTGCCAAGTGAATATTTTGTTGGAGGCAGCAGAGTTTCCCCACAAACGAATTCCATAGCTAATTTGTGAGTGGAAGAGACCAAAATATGTCATCCGAAGAACTTCTAAGCTGACACTATGCTTAAGCTTTCTTAACAGGTGGACAATACGAGACAGCTTTTTAGAAAGTTGAGAAACATGTTCTTCCCAAGTCAATTTACTATCTAGATACATACCAAGGAGTTTGACAGGTTTAGTGAGGTTATTGCACAGTTGATTTTTCAAGGAAAAGTACAGGAATTCGGTTTTATCTTCATTTAAGGTTAGATTGTTGGCTGAGTACCATGACTTTGCGGTTGACAAGGCATTGTTGAGTTGAGTTTTTACATCAAATTCAGTTTTAGCAGACACTACAAAAGTTGTGTCATCAGCATACAACACACTCAGAACTGGAATATTGCAACTAAAATCGTTTACAAAAACGATAAACCTGTTACAGCAACGCGGGTGTAAGGGATTATTGTTTCAGAGGCTAGGGTGTTTCAAGGACAAAGTGTTGGGCCTCCCGGCTTAGGGGGGGTGGTGGTGAGACTGCAAGAGGGGGAGGAAACTGGTTTTGGCTATTTATTGATTAGTTCACCGACCCTTCTAGACAACAAAATTGAGTGACAGTGTTAAATCACCGTGTTCTGTATTTCATTTCTTGTTTACTTTGTGTGTTATTCTATTAATTTTAGTGTTTTGGTCTATTTCCTCCTGGTCCCTTGCAAATTGTATTATCAATGCTAAATAATTGTGGTCAATTCAAATTATATTTTTGATTATTCAAATCCCTTACACAAAAAGACAAAAGTCAAACCATGCAAGGAAAAAACCTGCTATTGTAATCCCTGTACCCAGCCATTTGGGTAGTGGTGAAAGTCTAGTCTAAATATAGCTCAAAGGTCCTTCCCTTCCCCCCCAACCCCCTACTCATTGTTGCTATTCCTCTCATTTCGAGGTCATGGCACAACCCCTCCCTCCCTTCTATTGTTTTGCCTTTATAGTGTTTCTATTCTGACTTTTATAAACATAAATTTATTGCTTGCGTAACAGTTCAGTAGTGGAATTTTCTATCGTGTAGGCCTACAGTAGTAGGCCTAAACAGTAGGCCTACTTTAAAACAAAATCACCACCGATCATGTCATTCTATTCTGTGTCAAGTCAGTATAGCATTGCCAGTCAGTTGCCGGCGACTGCTTTGAGTTGATCTATTCTGTCGTGACAGTTATAAAAATAGGTTAGGACAACTACCTCTTGCTTATTTTTATTTTTGTATTACTGTAGAATCTACAGTAATACAAATTACATTTTATGTAAACACAAGTTACATTTCAACAAATATTGATTTTTTACAATTTTAAACCAAACTGGGGAGTTCAAAGATAAGCTCGAGTTTCAAGGCCGTACTCTACTCGAACTCGAAATCTCTAATACTCGCCCGTTTTGTGTTAATAATATAAAAAAAATCGGATCCATTAAAACCGGATCCAGCCCAAGATCCGACTTTTTGTGGATCCGATCGGGCGTCGGTTCTATCTCATATCCGGCGGATCCGGTAGTCCGATATCCGGATCCGACCATCACTAATTTTTATATGCAGTAGGGTCCTCCATTATTGTTTTTGAAACATCACAGTTCATTTGACAAAAATAAAATGGAAGCAATTTTTTTTTAAATACAATGTTTGATTGGGACTAAATCTCTAACACATCCAAGAGGAGAGCAAATTAGCCGTCGGGACTGTTTTTCCTGAAAGCTCTTAGTAAGCTGTTTGAAGGCTTCGCCGTAGTCTTTTTGAACTGGTTTTTCATTATAGGCTAGCTTGGTGACCAAACCATATGCTCCAGCACCATTTTCAACTTGCTGATACGTTAAATGGTCATCGACAGTCCCAAGTAGTTAGTTGGTTTGCCAAATTCTTTTTTGAAATTCACAGCCACACCAGCTGACATTTGTCTTTCATCGCCAAAGTTGTCAGAAATTCAATGTGCAAATGCAACTGTGGAGTCTCCTCGTTTTTCCCTTAAACTTGAGTCATGTCTTTATCAATTACGTTGATTCCGGGGTGTTATCCACCCCGCCTTTATCAGAGAGTCTGTAGATTTTCTTCACTTTTTCCAGCTATGCCTGATGTTTTGTTTATGATTTGGCTTAAGTAGTTTCCACATAGGTTTTCCCTCTACGATTTAGATGGAAACCATGCCTTGTGTGATGATATCTTTTTAAAAGCCACAGATCAAGTAGGCGTGCATTGGGATATTTATATGCAAGTTTTCTTATTTGATTGTTCACCATTACCAATGCTTCTTGTTCAAAATCATTATGGCCAAGGTCGTACCGATACGGGATTGTAGATATAATAATGTTCGTGTTTTCACAGTTTTTAATTTTATTTTCAAGAGTATTCACTAAATTCTTTGTACACTAATCAACCAAATGGGCATTATTTAAATTTGAATTTGCCAAGTCATTACAACCACCTATAACTAAGATCCAATCTTCTTTACCGTAGTTTTTCATAGCTAGATTGTTTTTCATTGGTTCGACCACTTGCTTCAAAGGGGCTCCAGGTTGTGTGTGCCCAAACACATTTAAGTGTTTGCCTATTGTTCCATCTAAGTAGTTACTCAGGTCTTTACCTTGGCTGTCAGGAAACAAAAGAAAAGCTTTTTTATTGGAGTCTTGAGATTTTTGTTTCATTGTCTTATTATTGACGGTCTTATGTTGATGTATTTGCAATGGAGAAACTGTGGTAGTTGTCGTTGCTAAATTTAAATTATCCTGCACTTCTTCCGATAAACATTCAAAGTGCTTTCTACATGGTATGGTGCTGTTAGGAGGGTTGGTAAAAATTCTCTTACAACTCTTTGGTCCGCCTGACTTCCCTGAGACTGTTTTCCAAGATTCTTTTCTTATGTTATGATTTGTTGTTGTTGTTGGTCTTTGTGGTGCTTTATTTTCATTACTATCTACATTATGTAAATTGTCTGGCCTTAGCATCTTAGCAGTTATTGTTTTTGATGTAACACCTAGTTCGGAAATATTATTAATCAATATTGCCAGTTGACCTCTCTTGTCAACAAGTCACTCTCAGTTATGACTGGCAGAAGTGATTTCCAGTGTTCATGAAGTGGTATTCCAGTGTTTTGCAAGATGAGTTGAACTATGACATCTGTGTATAGCAGTACATATATTCCACTGTCATATGCATTCAGTTGTCTTGGGATAGTTATAGCAGTTGTATCTAATTCTTTGGTACATTTAAAATATTTTTGTAGTGATTGTGCAGTTTTCAAAGCATGGGAGTAGTTGTTTGTTTTAGCTGAGTCAATGTACAAATACCGTTTCTCACTTGTGATGTAAACCAGTAGGCTCCAGTGTGAGCCACAGCCTCCAGGCTTGTCCACAGCTTGTGAATCGTTGACTGGTATTAGAATGTGGGTACTTGAAAGAAGATTTAAGTTTTCCAAGGTGAAGTCAAAAGTCTTAAAAGACATTTAATTGATTGAGCAATTACAGGATTTATAAGTACGACGTTTGATTTATTAGTTACATGACTGGAGAGCAGCTCAAAATATATACGTATCGCATCATCAGTGAGCCATTCGTTGTTTATAAGAGAAAGACCAATTTTGTTAGTGACTGGCCCTGCAGGTAAATTGGTTTTAGTAACACTTATCTCCTGATTTACAGTGTGTTGAGTTGATTATTTACATCAGTGACAAAGCTATTATTCAAAATCTTGCAACTTGCTGTGGTATTTTCAGATACAACTTCTGAGATAACTTGGGTATCAACCGTATTAATACAACATGTACACAAATAATTCATTTCATTTCTACATATGGTAGTTGAGCTGAAATCAAAGGACTGTTGGATGCCGAAGGGTTTTCTTGTGTATATGAGTTACATGACAGGAGAGCAGCTCAAAATTCACTCAATATTACTTACATTTAAACATTTCATTTGAGTCTTGTTCAAAGACTCAAAATTAAATTGTTTAAATTGTTTGCTTTTCAACTTTCCCAAACAAGATTTATTTTCCAAGTAAGGATAAATATCAATTTATTTGACAAAAGCTATTTCACAGGCACTGTAAAAAGTCACTTTATATTTGTTAAGTGATTCATGCTTTTCAATTATAGCTGGCCAGGCTGGATGACCTGTCACCTTTGCAAACACTTTTTCACATACTCCATACTTATATTTATTTTGGCTGTCAGTGTTCATTATTGAATTGTTATTTACAAATGACGCTGAAATCCATCAATAAAATAAAATTTTACTAATCATAATACTCATTTAAAAACAATTTTTTGTAATAGCAATGATTATCACATTCATAGGCAAGGTCAGTGCAGAAAGTAAACAATAACAAAAGGGTGATTTGGTCAACAGCTGATAAGCTTGAAACAAGAGTAGGTATATGTATCCAGGTTAAGCAGAACAGTACAGAGGTCAGCGCTGATAAGCTGATCTGCCGATAGCCAAACAAACTCCACCTCAAAACCTGCAGTGCTGTTTCAGACAATAATGTTTGTTGCAACCTGATTGAGTAGACTACGGAAGTCAGTGTCTATAACTTCAGCTTCTAACCAACACATCAGATATTATAAAGTTATTTATTTAAAAGTTTAGAATCATTGTCAAAAATCACAAATCTATCAATAGTGGTAAACTACTAGTGGAACAAAAAATCTTATATCAGAATTTAACTATATCAGTGCTGTTGGAAATACATGTGCTTTGACTTCTTCCTAAGTAAGTCTTTTGAAAATTGATTTTAATCAACTTTTAAACTTACAGAAGGCTGTTTTTAAACTATCTGCAAATCCAGTATATTATACTGTTTTTCTTATTCACACTTTTACACTGAAAAGATATTTCTTTCTCGAATAAAACACTAAATTAATAGAGAAGCAATTTCACAGACAACTTCAATTGACGATTGCATAAATTACGATTGCGCAATACTAACTGTATTTTGATTATGTAAAATGCAAATTAATCATCACATAATGTCCATTTATATAGTATTAGGCGTTTTATGAATTTGTAATACATGTTTATGGTGTGTTGGATTAACCGTGGTTTTCAGTTATCTGTGGTCTCCCCCCCCCATTACCCCGGATAAATGAGGTTCTACTGTACCACTTGTGATGTTATCTATCCTACACTGGATTCCATGTACATATTCTAGCATTTTTATATACTCTTATCTTCTATTCACTTAAAGCAGGGTATCCACTCAACAAGAATTTAGGAATCATACAGGGTTCTTCTTGCAGCGTGAATCTTCAGGAATTATACAGGAATTGTCGAAATTGCAGATTTTAGCTATTACTGTACTGAATTTAATCATTACTAGTACCAACACTCACCAAATAAGAAAAAGTCAAACGAGGAATGATTTTGGCTATTTGGTAAAAAAACTACCCTAGCAGAAGCTTTGAATTTAAATTTTTGGTTTGTTAATCCTGGGGCTGTGATTAAAGTATGCCAAAAGGTTGTCTCAATTTCAGTAAATTTCCATATGGACAGTTGAAAGATCTAATGTGACTTGGATTTAATGGTTTGAAAGAAAGTGACACAATATTGTATATTTCCCTCATTAGATTAGGTGGTATACCCTCTTTGAATGAGAAATATTTCTGCAAAATATTTAGATGTTGTTTCTCAGTTTAGTGGCTCAGTTTAGCTATTATTAATTCGATGGAAATTTGTGAGATTTTCCACTTGGGTGATGTGGCTTGTCTTACAAATCCCTAGCAACTTATCAGAATGTTGTGAGTTGTGAGGTCTTTAGCCAATTCAAAACAGTTACTTCTCTACTGTTCTGAAAAAAACAGTGCAGTCTGAAACGACAGTTATCAGCATTTTGACGGATTTTGATTCTTACCAAACAGACAGTTTTGTTTCCCTTACTTCTCAATGCTATTGTAGTTTTTTTTGTTTTTTTTTTTTAGCATAATAAGCAACTCTGATGATGTGCTTGACGTTTCAGATACTAGATGAAGTTAATCGTATCTTGCATTACATCAAGGTAACCCCCAAGTTGGCTCGCCCTTATAAAGTAACGGACGAGCTTTTCGACTTGTCCACGATGGCAATGGAATACTTCAAGGAGCGTATTGAGCCAACGCTCCCAGAAATTGCATACTTTGGTACTGATTTTCTGGATTTCAGCTGTGAGTATTCCAACATGTAGTTCTAAGTTCAATTTATTTGTTATTGATTTAAAATCTCTAATTTAATCAAACTCAGTAACTTTTGTTTGCCTCTTTAAACATTATTTTGGCATTGTTGGGTTATGTATCAAAGAAACTGAGTCCCCCTGCTTGAACTTAGTTAGTTATATGTCCTTTGCAATAAGATACAAACCTATCAACAGTAGAGTTGGATAACATGTAAATTGTGATTTAAAAATCTATAACATACCTTACCTGACTTAAATAAACTTCCATTTTCATTTTCAGTAAATGTTTTACAACGAATCCACGGTCATCATAAACATAAAACAATAGGTAATGACAATAACTGTAAAATAAGTATTAAAGTTATAACATCACGACACATCATATCTTCCCTTTTCTACTTTAAGTTAACTCTAACACCAACCAACAGTTCAACAAAGTTTGGTGGTCCAACTCACAACATGTTTCGCCTATTCAGGCATTGTCAAGTGATATCTTATCAAGAATGCTTCATTCATTATTAGAGTCATCAAATATGTTCATATAAATACTCAATATAACATGAAGACAAATGAAAAAAAAACATTTAAAAATATGAAGTAAGCCTAATATTTTCCAAAAAAAATTTGGTTTCTTGTTTCATTCCTCTATCATGTAAAAATATATCTGCCTCTACCTATTATGTAACGTAAATATCCTGTATTCTTTTGCTTGCACCTTTGGAATAGAGTCATTATTGTTTTCTTCTTTAGATTCACTTTTGTTCCAATAGAGGATCACTCCAATTTCTTTGCTGTACGCCTCTTGAGATTTTATGGCATGCAATTTTTTTTTACAGATCTGCAAATCTTTATAGGAATCTTGTTTTATTCCTTCGTCTATGACATCTGGCTCTACCAATTATGTGACCACTGGATGTGATTCACATCTGTTATCTTTGGTTCCTACTTTTGTTCTTTTGTATCTGCAAATCTTAATAGGTTGCTTGTTTCATTCCTTCATCTATGATGTGAAAATATATCTGGTCTAATAATGATGTAACCTCTGGATTTGATTCACATTTCTTATCTTCTTTGGATTTGATTCACATTTCTTATCATTTTGGTTCCTAGTTTTGTTCCAACAGAAAATCTTACGATTTCTCAGATGTACGCCTCAGCTTATGCTGCAGTAAATTTTATTGAATTCTTTTTAACTTTGAATTGGTGTCTATGATCTGTTTGCCTTGGGTGTGCTTCTGTAAAGCACTATTCTTGAGATTTCATGTGTTCGGGGCGGAATTAATTTATTTATTAAGATAGGTGTGGTGTGGAGCTACCTTCTACAGATGTCTTCAAGACGAGCGGGGTTCTTTGGTAACAGCGTGGAGCATGGAACTGGTGTCTTGTTCTTGATCAGGGTAAGGGTGGGGAAATGAAATACTGGCTAGACTTTGTCTGTTATGAAAAACTGGTATATTAAACATATATTTAGTACATAATGAAATACGGATCATAGCGTCGGTGGGCACTAGCTAGTCTGCAGGAGTCCCAAGTGTGAGTGAGGTGGCATCGTCCTTTCCCTGAGGGAGGGGAGTAGCGTAAAGTATCAGCTGTTTCTTGGCAGCAAATTAAAATATGTATCAACACATTATTTGGGACAGAAGGAAAAGAAATTTTAATGCTAAATTATTATATTTTTTTTAGGTTTAGGCTCTAACATCATGGTATGCCTAATGTTTTTGCAATTATCTGCAAATCTTTGTAGGTTGCTTGTTTCATTCCTCCATCTATGATGTAAAAATATATCTGGCTATACCAATTATGTAATGCCAATTTCCTGTGTTCTTTAGCTAGCACCACTGGAATTGAGTCATTATTGTTTTCTTCTTTGAGTTCTACTTGATTCCAAGACGGGTTACACATTGGTACGACGTGCATTTTATTGCAACTTGCAACATACAAGTCGGATGTCTATAGCAAGCGCTTACACACTAATGCTAGTCGCAAAGTCACGCTAGAGACGCAAACTCAGCATAATTTCGTTGTTAACTAAAATTTTTAGTTGAAGACATGATGTCAAGTAGTGAGGACAAGCCTGTGTTATTGCTTTTAATGCTGAAAAGAAGAAGGTGCAAAAAGAGAGTGTGAAATCGTTGATGGTGGGTGCACTTGTACAGTATTGGTCTATTGATGCTATTAATTCAAGCCAATTTGTAGAGACCAAACTGTTAGAAGAATTTGATGGAAATTTTCAAAAAATTTTCTATTAAATAATAGATTTTCAAGAATGTGGAAGGTTGCAGGTCTACTGTGCCTTTAATAGTACACGCTTTCAACAAATTCTATCAGTGGGAGAGAGATTGTTGATATTTTTGAGGTATGTGCCTAAAGTTAACTAATATATTATTTGCTTGTATAATGTCAAGCAATGAGCTAATTATAATTCTTTATATTGCATTTTTGATTTTTTGTAAACATACAAAAAACAGCCTACAATGTAAAAATACTTCTCTTTACATTTAAAATCACGTGCTTCAAATCATGAAAGATTGTTAAGATTGAACTCTTTTGATAAGTATTCGGCCAGAAAAGGTAGTGAATTGGCGTTCAACAGACATAATTTATCGGTTTACAAGAAAATCTCATCAAACTAGGGTATACCAATTTTCTTCATATTTGCTCTGTATACTATGACAAACTTTCTGCCACATTTACTTCTTATTATTACAAGTGGTTGGTCCGTTTCAGACGTTGGATGTACTGCATAATCTCACCTGGCGGTGTATAGCTGACTCTAGCAATTTTATTTACTGTTGCATCTGGTCCTTAAAACAGATCACACCTTTCAATATTGGTATTGTTGGTAAATTTAAGTGCCCTGTTGTACTGCACGTGTATCTGGTACCAATTATGTAATGCAAATTTAACGTATTCTTTTGCTTGTACCACTGGATTCGATTCATTACGGTATTGTTTTCTTCTTTGGGTTCCACTTATGTTCCAACAGAAGATTATTCCCATTTCTTTGTTGTGGGTCTCATCAACAAACATTGGTACTGCTTAAAGCACTTGTACAAAATCGTCCCAATAACCGTATTGCGGCTGGCATGTAAACATTTGTGTCTATATAAACAATATTTTGTTTAACTCTAAATGAAACCTGTCTTTAGACCATTCCAAACATTCTCACCAAATATAGTTAAGCATTATGTAAATTATCCTCACACACTATTGTAATGATATGACATTTAATTTACTTGATTGTACATTTGTTATTTCGATGTGCAATCTATAATTCTTTTCATTGTTTGAGTTTTTACTTGAATTTGTTGAAATAGTTATAGCTGTTGTATTGTATTGTTATTTTAAGCTTACGTTTCCAGGCACAAATAAGAAAGAAGTTAAGAAATTGACCAACAGGCTTACAGGTTATCTTGCACATACAAAGGTATGTAGGACTACAGAAGAGGATTGCCTTAAATGCAGATGCTACTATCAATTGGTTGCTATGAAACAATGGTTTGATGAGCAAAGAGCCAAGCTCGCAAAGAAAAGCCTACAAAACCTGAAGTCTCGCGAGGTCTTGGGTATTAAAAAACACTACAGGAAAGTCACCTTGGAGTAAGTTATGTATTGAGGTTAAAACAACACCATGCATGAGTTATCCTATACTTCTTCTGTCCCTGTGTTTTGAAACTATTTTGTTGCGTGATTTTAAACACAGTGCTTTTCAGCTACGAGCAACAAGTATATGAGTTTAGACTCACCACCACATGGAATCGGAAAAGGCGATGAATCACCAACAACCACGCAATCTGATGATCGTGGAGCACCACAACAAAGCAACATGGTATTGCGCAAACGTATTCGCAAGATCAAACAAGGCATGAAAAGGTAAAGTAAACTACAATTTTTAGCGTGCTCAGTGTTTCCCAACCTAAGGCTACAGCCCACTAGGCCTAAACCAATATTAATAATAATACTTACATATCACATGAATGTTATAAAGGGTTATCTTAAGTATGAAGGTTAATCAAGTAAAACATTAAAGAGAGGAAAAAATAAACTGGCTTTTACTCGAGGCGCTTAAATAAAACTAGCTTTTATATTCTGATCAAATTTACACTCGTACGACTCATACAGTTGCGGATACTTTAACCATATACCGATGTGGAAGTGGAAATGAATACCGAAACACCAAACATAGCAGAACAATCAACCTAACAACAACACAATCTACCTTCTCTCAATTTTATATAAACTGTCACAATTGGGAAATCTTTTTTAATTCCCAATGTTGCAAACTGCTAAATTAACATATCAATGTGAAAATAAGATCCAACATAACATTGACAGATGATTGTTTGAACATAGGATATCAAGGGCTATTAACAAGTTTCCTGGGACTGAATTGTGCTACACACTTCACAGATTATTTTCTCGGTCATTAGTACAAGGTGTCAGAGATCCACTCATAAAAAATTGGTGTTTCTGGTACCCACCATTTCATCCATTTCACCTCATCCTACAGTGTATTCGCAGACCTCTGGTTTAGATGTTTTATAACCTGATTCTAAATGTAAATATACAATCAAACTTTAAAACAAAATAATTTATTAAAACAACAAGACACAGGAATCATAACTGTCACTGTTGTAGCCTCACTCTCCTCCGCCGACAATGCAGAAATAATCTACTGGGTTTCCAACCCTTTATTGCTTTAGGATCTTTTCTCACCCGTGTCATTTTAAGTCCAAGAATAATGGAAGTGACTTGAGGCCAAATCAGGGCTGTATGGTTCGAATTGGACCATGATATCCTTTGTAATGCAGTTTATGTGAAGACGAGCGTTGTCTAACACCTTCGTAAATTATAAGAGCCATTACCTTCTCCACTGACAGCATTTTCAAACTTTTTACACGTGGAGAATGGGAATGCTTCCAATGTTTTTATTAGACTGCAATCCGATCTAGGTCATTTGTCATGACTGAAGGATGTCCCGAACAAAGTGCGACCAGCAGTCCAGTCTTCCTGATGAGTCTGAAAGTCCATAGTCCTCGGGTTTCTTGTTTTCATATCTCTTGTCATATCCGGAAATTGTGTTTGGGAGTGCTCTTCTGTTTGTGCATCGCCCTTAAAGATTTAAGCTTTTCTCTGGTGGATTGTCTTCTCCTCACCAGAACAATTTCATGTAATCCTCAACCTTCCGCACCTCAGAGCTGTAAAGAAGCACGGACTGGACTACAGACATCAAGAGTCTTCTCGGCTGGACCGAAAACTCCCGACATCGGTCATACGCTAATTAAGAGCAGTGAAACTCCTAGTAACACTTCTAGCAGTCTACACGTCAGTAATATACCATCTTAGAGCTGTTAATAAATGAACTCTTCGTTCTGATAGCAACTTGCCTGTTCATGAAGCTCCATGTATCATGAGGGTTTCCATGGACAAAGATCTCCAATGAGCTGCAGGCACCACTGTTGTGTTCTTTACTTCTGTAAAAAACAATAGCAGGGAAAATCAACGCTTCTTCAAGTACAAATTGTGTTCTGTGATAAATTACTTCGTAGCAGGGGATCAACACCTATTGAAATCTGTTGCCAGTTAACAGATATATGAAAGAAAAATGAAAAAGTTACTAAGTAAGTTTGCAGAAGGCCGTATACATTTGCATGATGAGGCCGGCAGCAGGCATTCATCAGATTTCATTATGAGAGTCATTTAAGTGGGAGAAACTTTGCTTGCAAATCGGTTTGTTTTAGACTACTGGGGTTAACCATTGACGTAGGTAGTCTTAGAGATATGATACCTTGTCAGTTAGCTTTCTGTCGTTCAGTCAATCCGCGCATGCATAATTTTCCTTGCCTTGTCACTGCCTCAATCAAAACTGATGCATAAACACTGTCGGCCTTGGTCGTGAAAAACATCCTAAACATTGTTCAAATGTTAACGACCTTCCCTGAAGTCCCATCGCCCCTAACGTATATTTTATACGTCTACTCACTTTTATCTACAATTTCTTCAGGTTTTCCCCCAATTCATCGTATAGGTTTTGGTGGGTTGCAAGCATAAAATGGTTGGGAACCACTAATACGCTGATAACACTAATGCACAACTTAAAATCCAACCGCCCAAGGACAAGGCACTAGTGATTATTAACAAATATGCGGTTTAATTTATGTGACAATTCTGTCTTTAGATTACCGCTCAGATGAAGAGGTCTATGATAATAGGCCCAAAACATTTGTCAAAATTACTTCCTCTGTAATTTTACGAATACTGTTCTGCCAAGAGGCAGGATACTAGCTTATTAGTATGTGTGAAAACTAACCTAGTCTAAGGAAACTAATGTATAATTTGTATTCCAAATTTTACCCCTGGAACATGTATGTGCCAATGTGAGTGACAATAGTTGATTGGAGTGAAAGAAATATCACAACATGTTATAAACAAAAGTTTAACAAAATAAAAATGTAGATAAATATTTGTTGCAATTTCACCCCTAGCAAATTTTGTCATGAATTCCCAACCTTGTTCATCTTGTAACTGACAGGTAGTAAAAATATTTCACAATCCATACAAAAATCAACTATTCTCATACTGGCATTCCACTTCAACTACAAACCAATTTTATTTTATTTTGCTGCTGCTACTAACCATGCCATGTGCTAATTGCTTTTGGGTGCTTTAAGTGTCAACTTTTGGGGAAATACTTTTCAAAATTCCTTATTCTTATTTAAGTCTATCCCTCTCATGATAAAAGATTGTCCAGTAATGCCAATTAGGGGAGGACCAATTTTTACTTTATTTATTTTTGCTTTCTTTAAAACCATTTTTACGTATCAAAATTGTAGAGCCCATAGGAAGTGTTAAAGGCCAAATCTAATGAGACTTAAAGAAAAATATAAAATTTAGTCATAATCTCATTGAACGCTTTATTCCAAAATGTATGGGCCATGAACATATTTTATTGAATAGGTCTAAAGTGAATCTAGTAATGTTTTTACCCTTGCAAGTTATTTTTACGTTGACTTTGCTCATTTGTTTTTCTTAATGCAAACTGGCTCTAATACACTTTGGTGACAAAAACGTTGGTCCTCCTAAATTTTTTCAAAAGTATCAAGTTACAAGAGTGAATTTTGTTAAATGTATCAATTGGTCATGATTCTGTACTTTTTTATGTTGCAGGTTTTTTTATGATGCAGGCTTTTTTTATGTTGCAGGTTTTTTTATGTCGCAGGTATTTTTTATATTGTAGGCTTTTTTTATGTTGCAGACATTTTTTTATATTGGAGACTTCTTATGTTACAGATTTACTACCTAGACAATCATTGTGAATTTCGCCATTTGGAAAAAATGTGATTCCATCATTCATGGTCATTCTGCACCCAGCCCTTTAAAATAATTTTGGCAATCTACCACCTTCAATGACAATGTTTTACGACTCTAATCCTTGAATGCACAAAAATCCACTAGTGAATATATTTTTCTAGTTTTTTTTTAATTTGTAATAGCAATCATACCAAATATTAGGCCTCTAATACCAAAGATAATATCCGGTAATCGATAAGTCCAAACATGACTGGGAAAAAATGTTCAATTTCTTAACCATATATGAAAGTATGAATGTTTTTAATACATGCGTTGCAGGGCTGACATATTTCTTTTAAGGAAAAAACTAATAAGCTTTTCTTTTCCAGTTTTTTGAACATCCATCTATTGCTAAAGAAAATAGTAACAATTAATAAATGTAGTATCTTTATTAAAATTCATTTATGTAAATCATCACTTTATGATATATGTTTTTCTACATTAAGTATCCCATTATCAATATTTAGACCAATCAAAACTTACTTAAAGGACTTAAACCTGAATTTCTCACTGCGTATGCTTAGTAATATCTTATGCATTAACTTTCTTCCGATGGCCATAACAGACCAATAAATTAAATACACTTAGGTAACAGATTTTACATAGCAAATCGAGACAGGAGTAATTTTGGGAACTAAATTATAAAGATAAACAATATACAGAATCTTGCAGAACAGTGTAATGTGACATAAACAATAGTTTATTGCTAGGGCCAAAAGTGTCTTTTCGACCCTCCCTGATTTACAAACTCTCCATCACTTCAATCCTTGAACTTGAGATCATTTTTTACATTCTTACCCTATCATTAATGTATTACTTAACAATTACTAGAGAGTTATTGCACTTTACGTTAACTAAATATGCTAAACGTTAAACGTAAATTTTTAGTGATTAGCGTTTACCGGGCTCAATAATGTATAGTGGCCCGCTATTTCACAGGATTTATCATAGCGTTTTATTGTAGCCATTAAAGCCAGCTGTTAAGTGTAAACAATTAAACATACATTAATAACCTAAGTTGGAATGCTGAGTTAATTTTTAAAGCGTGATTAGATTTTTGGCTTGGATTTTTCTTCAATATGGAAAAAAGTTTGAGATTCACCCTAAATAATGAAATGGTGTGATAAAAGAAGTTCTATGTCAAAACCATAGAACCTTGATCAGTTATAGCTCCTAAAGCTGACAAAGTTAAAATGTTCTCCATAACTACAAAGTCAATCACAACCAAGTATATTAAACAATCCTAACCTCTTAAGTATTGATAAATAAAATACTTCTTACATTTACATTGCAATGAGTTACGTCATTAGTGGTAGTGTTAAACTTAATTTTCATTGAGATGAAAAAACTTTAAATTCGCTCTTATGTTAAACGCCAAACGCGATTTTTTACGTTTGGCATTTGCGTGTAACGGGATTTTCAAGAAGATGCAAAAACACTCGACTGTCTCCTCACTAATTGTTCATGCATTTTCACATTGGTATTCAAGCCTTTTCCCTCCTTCATTTCAAACCCTTTTATCATTCATACCCTCTATTTTTCCTCCACACTATCTTTTCACATTACCAAATCTCTTTTTATTATCATAAGTATCATGGTAAAATCCTGGAACCTATTCACTTATTTGTTTTCATGTCCCCGGATACGAAAAACATTATCTGTTCAAATTCATATAGTATGTGTCCGTTGAGTAAAATGATCTGATTTTTTTTTAAATTTAAACATATTCGCGAACCAGCATAATTGGACCCTTAAAACATAAAACTTTGCTGTTTCTTTGTGAACCATTTTGTAGAGCTTAAAAAATAATAATTTAGCATATATATGTGTTGTCCTAAGCTAAATGATTACAGAGAAAAGCTCAAATAAGCTCAAATTTAAAATTCTTATCTTTTTGTAATTGAGAATAAGTAAACTGTTGCAGTTTACGTAGTTTAATAAAAGATTTGGCAAATTAATTTACTAAGCTATCAACATTAAAAAAGCTATTCACTTTATATACACACTTTATTACCTTCCCTTTAGCAGCAAACATAAGTACTCACTAAACTTGATCATTTTAATTGGGAATAAATATGACAACTTTACTGAAATATCTGAGTACAAACCCATTAGGCTAGTGGTTAGTCTTCAGGTTTACTTCGGCAGAGGTAATTTTCCTTCTCATCCTGTTATTCATGCCCATTATATCCATATATTCCAATCACTGCATTCACTATTGTTATTAACACCAAAGGGGTCAGGGTGGAATTTATAGCACGTGTTAAAACAACTGAAACCCCTTCAATCTTATTAGGTCAAAGATTTATATAACCAATTTGATATTCAACCTAAAGTAAATCACAATTACAAACAGGTCGTCAACAATTGCGAGTTGGCTAAGGTTCGAATCCCGTGTGTGTGCAATACTGTACATATTACGCTTACTAATGTGTGCTTAGCTGGTTAGGAGGCCCACCTAAATAAGGGATGTCGGGCTTGGGTGAAAGTAGAAGGCATTAGTGATTTTAGTTGGGATTAACCTCAACTCCTGTTTTTTTGTTTTTTTTTTACACCAATATAGAAGAGGAGGACCCAGATTTTTTAGGCTTTTATTTTATATAAATATGAATATATCCTGATGAAATATATATACCAAAACAAACATAGAAAAAAGTTACCTTAAAATACAATGATAAAGAAATCACATAAAATTCCCATGTTAAAAGGTTAAGCAATTAAATACTGTAAAAATATTTTTTACTGACTCTTAGTAATGGTTGTTCTGTTTCTCCATTTGTAGATATAACTATCAACTTAGCCAGATGAGGAAAGAGTTGAGATGCTGTCGTGGGAAGGTTACCGACCACCAGAAACAGATCTTGGAGTATGCGACTCGATTGGACGAGTACGACAAGAAAACTGAAGAAACCAATAGAAAGTTCAGCACTATGCTACAAGAGCTCAACAAGTGCAAGACTGAGCTCCAGTATTGGAGGTCCAAGTCACCTCTGTCCACCACATGTGGGGCGTGCGGCACAGTCAGCATGCCTGAGCAGACTGAGATGGTGATGCTCCCAGAGTTGGAGCCGTTCCCCGGCCCGAGCACCTCATCAGCTGACGTGTGGACTCTGGCCGGCCAATCACCGGAGCAGAGAAATAAGCGGAAACTATCAGCTGAGAAAACCACTCCCGGCGGTCCTCCCTCTAAGAAGAGGAACGTTTTAAAATCTCGAAACAAACGTAACTAAGCTTTATTTACAGAACATACCCCGAACTCCCATGAGGTATTATTTTTATTTAACGACAGAAAGTATTGAGTTTTGAGAGGATTGTGCAATGGCTTAAAGCCAATAGGATGAACTTTGTACATAAGATGTAGTCACTAATTTGTTTATTTGGTTGCATTGATGTTAAACCGATGTTAATGCCAGAAAGTGAATTTGTCGCTCTATAACATTTGCCATAATACTTGTCGGTTGGTCAGGTTTTCAATCCAAACTTCTCTGGTTACTTAACCTGTATACTGTTCTCGATGATGATGAAATTACCAAAATCACATAATTCAAAAGATTCTTCAGTTACAAATAATTTAATCATAATTCCCTGTCATAAGTTTCTTCCAACCGTGGCTATATTTATCTAAGTAAATATCCTTTTTGGAACTGAATTCTGTTTTAGCTGAATATTTTATCAGTAAAATTGCCTTAGAGTCTTGATCAACTAAGTTAATGCGGACTGAAGCTACCTTCAATGACCAAATCCTTGGTTAACACTGCTACAAACCCCAAAACATAATATTGAAACAGCTGTGCTATTAATAGATTTGTTCAAAACATACATTATTAATTGTGCATGGTGTAATAGCATAATTAATTAATTTACATGAAAAAGTGTGAATAGGAAGTGAAGTACATGAGGTACAACTTCCATTAAAATTACAAATGTTTAAAAAAGTCCTTACAGTTTCCTGCTTGATCATGCTGCCTTGTTTCTTTGCCACCAAACTGTGCAGACAACATAATATAGTTATGTCAGCTGGTATTGTGTCTTGTAGAGCAGTGCCTTCTCAATAGCACTCTATCTGTCAGTGAGACTGATTTTAGTTTCCAGTCTTAACACTATTAGCTGAGATTGAGTTGAATTGACTTGCTAAACCTTAATGCCGTTGGTCAAAAGCATGTCACTTGACTTACTCAACTTGTATAGATGATATATGGTTGCCGCAGCTACAAATTGAGTCTCACTCGACCCTTGTCTCGAGTTGGCAGCAGTCTCATCACTAGTTTCAAAAAGTATTCTTCTGTATCTTAAGTTATAACAAATATATTTATACATCCAGTTCATGCTCAGTTAATCAAGGCTCTATATTGTACGGATTTATGTTTAAAATGATCCGGTCGTCAAGCACCATGTTAACTCTAACCCATAGTCAGCATGTGTTTATTTTGTATACAAATTCTGTTAATTGGATCTGCCTGAGAACATTTTAAGTGACAATAATCAAGTTGCCACAAACAACAGATTGTGAAATAATTTTGAATTAGTTATCTTATTGTTACAAACTTTTGATGATGTCTTAAGAGACAAAGTGAAAGGTTTATTAAAATTTAATGGTATTCGATTAAGTATTATTTCAGTTCGTATACACATATTATTATATAACTTACACATATTATTTATGACAGTCTATTTTTTGTTTTGCTTAACATAATAGGCTATATTTGCATGTATTACTCAAGATATGTTTACTGAATATTGATCTGGCTTTAATGGAGTACATTCTTCCTAGGTAAATAAATGTTAATGGTCGGACAACTTGCTAAAACCAGAACAAAGTATTGGGATGAAGGTCCTTTATTTATAAAATTGATGTTTCTCAACTTAGCCAGTTGGTTTTGTTATCTTTTTCAAATGTTAAAATCCCAATAGAGGAGCAATATTGATTTTTCCTGGTAATAAGTTTGAATTGACCATGTTAAATGTGTTACTCTAGTTGGTTCTCTGTAAACATCACTGTTGACAACACTATGTCTTTGGTAGGAAAATGTAATCCTAACATACTGTATGTGTAAATTGTGGGGAAGCCTGAATTGTATTTAGTATTAGATGTTGTACATAATATATCTATATTTTAATGTCTGGTATACTAGCTGCTGAAATTGGTGTGTTAATTCAAAAATAAATTTAAGCTCAGTGAAAAATAGAGTTAAATGGATCTGCGCTTTTTGCTGTAAAAATAACAAAACGCTAGTTTAGATACTATGTGCTTGAGCTTAGCTTTTGCCTATGTATATACATCTAAAAGGGAACAGTCACTCTTCGATTTTACTAATTTACCTTCAATTTTTATATGTTAATAAAAGTTCATGATATTTTTCCGTTCAGAGAGTGTTTTCAAGGGTCAACTTCCATTTGAGATTGTTAAAGTGGATATTAATAATTATCAAAACACTCAATTTAACATAATTATTTAATGCGGTTGTAAAAATACATATTTATATTTCATGTAGAAAGAGAACTATATTTAAGGTATTAAAGGAGATTTAAGTAAGTCTTAGAGCATTCAAGTGAATTAGAAACATCTGATACATAATGGAATATTGCAACAGATACATAATGGTTTATTGTGACTGATACATAATGGTTTATTGCAACAGACACATAATGGTTTATTGTGACTGATACATAATGGTTTATTGCAACAGATACATAATGGTTTATTGTGACTGATACATAATGGTTTTATTGCAACATATACATGTTTTATTTTATTGCAACAGATGCATAATGGCTTATTGCAACGTTAAGCACGTATATTTGGAAATAATACTCCTAGGTTGTTTTATTATGTAGAGAGTTTTTTTTTAGTTAATGATCTCCATAAGTTTTGAGTTAGGGTGCTAATCACACCTCATATTTTCAGCTTTGTTGCTAGTTTATTCTGTTTCTTCTCTTTAATATGTCTGGCTGCTGCTCTAAAAGCCGTTGTCCACTCGTTCAATCAACCTGGTACAGTAGAACCCTTATCCGGCCACCACGGGAATAAACCAACCACCTATTATAAAAACAATAAATTTTATCCTAATAATAACGTGTAGTAATTCGGGAGATTAGTTTCCTTACAGTTGTTTCATTTTCAAGACCTTGAACGTTCAACACTTGTCGTCATCAACACACATAAATATAACATTCAGTACACACAAAGAACACGGATACATCGGTTTAAAATAAAAAAATAAGCGGCCGGCCATAACACGCATGACGACAGACACGACGCAACTCTCATTCACTCAAGAGTTGTCCATCGTGAGTGTTATGGATGGCCGCACATAATTTTATGTTAAATCATTGTATCCGTATTCTTTGTGTGTCTATGTTAAATTTTAGTGTTTGTACAACCAATGAAACACTTTTTTAAAGAAAAGTATTAACGTAAAAGAATTATGAATTCGGATAACATTAACTATTATTAAATAAAGATGGAGGTAAAAGATACTCGGAATTATTAGGCGTTAAATGGTACGTAACTTCCTGCCAAACTTTCTTGTCTCTATTGCGAAACAAAAAAAAAAAAAATATTGAGGTGAAGCCTACCAGCTCAACTGAGTAGTGAACTCAAATGTAACAAACAGACAAGTCGTCTGGGTATCTGAGTGGTTATGCTCCGTCGTAACAACCAACAAGTTTTGGACTGTCCCCTTTCAAAACGTAAAATGCCTTTGGCACTGAAAGCACAAATAAATTATTGCGAGACCCAACTGCATCATTCTGTAACCTATGGGAAATACTGACTTCCTAGAAGTGGCCGGATATCAGGAGTTCTACTATACCACTGGATTGATTGTATTGATTGTTTGACTCGATTGTACGCTCAAATGAGTGTTCTAGGTTAATCAGACATATAGGACATGCATTGTTTTTTAAGTATATATTTATTTGTACCAAGTTATACTCACAAAAGATTTAATATGTGGATTTGAAAACGGTTTTTTTTAAGAAATTTAAAAAATCCATTCACTAAATTGTGCTGCCAAAAAATAATTTTGGAATCATTTAGTGCGATAATGAATGTCTTGCTTCTCCCCTAGTTTGCCACAAGGTAAAACAAAACCGAGTTTTTACTCAACCAGTTCTATGTCTCAATCTCCTTTCCAACCACATACATTCATTGAAATATACATTATTTGTATTGCCTTTTAAAGAGCATTGAATATTGTATTGAATAAAGTTTTGGAAAGTGAAAAGAATACATCTAATAACACTTTGAAACATATATCATGTTAACTCACAAGATGGTAAATACATTTAACAGATGGTAAGTGGTGATTGAAATTGATATCACTGCTTTACCATCTTTAAGTGTAAACATATGTTTCAAAAGTTATCATACATATTTTTTTCAGTTTCCATCAATTTAATAACATGTTCAAATACTTCAAGAGAAGAAATTATTGAAGTCGCATAAATGATTATCCAATGGGGTATCAAAAAGCTAAAATTATTGTGGATATAGTAAAATATTTTTATACCACAGTTTTCATTCTTATGTGTATATTATAGAATGCATATGCGTATATATATTTAATTATGTAATTAAGTTCACATGCTTAAAGGATCTTTATTTTGCAGAATCGTTTACAATGTTTAATTTTCCTTATGCGTTTTTTTTTTAGTTAAGTGGCTACTGTACATCTGTTTAAGGTGTTTAAATGTTTTTTGTCACAGTGTGTTATTAATCAATCTTGTGTTGTAATCAAGTCAATGTGCAGTAAATAACTTACTAGCTAAAAACTTCCTGCAGATTTCACCATAAGTACTGTTTTCAGTAAATCAGCATATACTGAACTCACTAGACAATCTTACATTTTATAACAAATATTAGTTTACACAATGATTTCCAAATAAAAGTTATTCCAATCTAAATATGTGTTCTTTTTACAACCTGGCTAGTTTTCTAACCCATGAAGAACAGTTAAAATAAGCGATAGTGCTGTAATATGAAGAAACATATTGAAATAAGCAAGTCCTATAATTCTGAATCCAGACATTTTGGTTTTACCCACACATATTTTATAAATATCCCAGATAATTTGCAATGACTGTTTCCAAGTAGACTTTACTGTTAACACATAATATTTTTTTCTCAATACTATCAGATTAGTAAAAAAGCTAAGCAAAAAATTCTGTAATGAAAATGTTCACAATAATTGTTTGATAATGTTATCTTGCCATCACAAAAAGTGCAGTTCAATCAAAGAATAGACTCTTGTATTTTCCAAATGAAAAAATGTTAAATCTACCCTTTTTTAAGCTCTGAAAAGTTTTTTTTATAGCTTTCTGTGGATGTTCTTATTCTAAGCCCATCCACCATTTAAAAAAAATGTTAGTGCTCATAAATCATGCTTGCTTGTGAAAAGAATTTTATCATAAAAAATTGGAGCAGATAACTTGAATGGTATATCAGACGGGTGAGGGGCATCAATTTCATGATTTACCAGCAATACACTCTGTTACTCACTCCCATGGCCATTTATGCCTAAGCATAAATTTACCTGTCTACATGACAAATTTACCTGACATTTAATTTTGCAGCAATAACGGATATTAGTTATTTAATTACCAACTCAAGCAATCAAACTAATATATCCACCTTGGCAAACAATATTTTTATTTATGCTAATTTGATTGCTATTAAGGGCATTAAAACTCCCCTTTGTTCTGAAAATGTGTTTTAGTGTCAAGCCCTAGAGTTCTAAGGGTATATTCAATACCTATGGTGTTTTTATTAATATTAGGAAGGACAAGGTCATTAACTACATTAATAAAAAAACTGGTTAAAGCTATTACCTACACAACTTGGATTAGATTCTAATTTGCCGTTGAAAAAGATTTTCAAATTTTTACCAGGTTTTGTTGTAGTATTCATATTTACTTCAGAAATAATAATTCACCAAATTGATTTGTGGATTTTATTTTTGAGGTGTTCTATAATGTTTTTCTAAGTTCACTAACTTTTCCTTCTTCATTTTAATGTCGTTAGAAATCCACAAATTAGAAGTTGTATTTTTTCTACTTAGAACGTTTAACGACAGGTGGTTTCAAAGGCATGTACAAAGATCCAAATAAAAATCATACATAGTTTCTACTGTCGCTTGACATACTTCAGATCAATTTTCTTTAGCTAATAGAGTTAAAAATGAACTTAATAGTCTCCGAAAAACTCGTCCTCCTAAACACTTTTATATAATCTAGATTTTACTTGTTACTCCCCCATTAAGGATATCGTACAATTTTGCAATTTTTTGAATATCGTACAATTAAGAATATCGTACAATTTTGCCCAAGGCACCCTTTGTGACCTGAGCAAAGCATTTGATTGTGTTGACTTGGAAATTCTTATTAAAAAGTTAGAACTGTATGGGTTTAATGTATCTTCTCTAAATTTTCTTTCATCTTATTTAAAAAAACCGGAAATAACTAGTAAATTCTAATGGGAACAAATCACAAGAAAGGGAAGTAACTTGGGGCGTTCCACAGGGATCAGTCCTTGGCCCACTTCTGTTTTTAATTTACATTAATGACCTTCCAATGGCAATAAATACTAAAACTATTCTTTACGCGGATGATACAACTTTTTTTCATGAAAACAATAACCAAATTGTACTTCAAAATTTAGTCCAAGTCACAAAATTAAACGCATCCAAATGGTTTCATGCCAATGGCTTTCTATTGAATGACTGTAAAACTCAAGAAATAAAATTTACATTGAAACATGATTCTGCCTTTAATAATGAAAATAGTGCTGTCACTACAAAATTTTTGGGTCTTCATATTGACAATAAACTATCCTGGAATGAGCATATAAATTATTTGTCTACTAGACTATCTCGAGTAATTTTTCTTCTTGGTCGTCTCAAAGATGTAATTCCAAAGAACTATTTGAGATTTGTTTTGAAAATATTTTACATATTTTCAGTCTGTAATGAGATATGGGTTGATATTTTGGGGTGGGTGTGGAAGAATTAATGAAATTTTAATCCTACAGAAGGGGGCTATCAGAGCTATGAATGGATCAGAGCCAGACGAGCACTGCAAGCCTCTTTAAGGATTTTAAGATTCAAACTGTAATAAATTTGTTTATTTATGATCTTGCCCTTTATATCTTAAAAAAACCCCCATCACCTAAAATTCAATAATCATAATCACAATACCAGATTTAAAAATAGTGCCTTGTTAGAATCATGTCTGAGTAAGACTAGCAAGAGCCACATAGTGTTATCAACTAAAGTATATAACCTTTTAAAACACAATATTGATGCTTATCCGCAAGAAAAATTCAAGTCCTTGTTTTATAATTGGCTATTAGACAACCCTTCTTATAGCCTGGATGATTTGTTCAAATCTGGCCAAATAAATCTTTGATTGTATAACCCTGCTGCTAACCTGTTGCTTTATCAGGTCCTTATATTGTTGTTTGTTTAGTCATATGTACATATTTGAGTTATTAAGCCCTATTGTTTTTTCAAAATATTGAAAGTGTTTTTAATTTTGTTTTGTTTGACGATTGATGTATAATCATGATTTTGACTTTGTCGATGATCTAATGTATCCTTATGACAAAAAAAGATTCTTATTATTATTATTATTATTGACTTGTTTCTTGAAAAGTAAGAGCATTTGTTATAGTTAACAATGTTAAGACAAGAGACATAATTTCTGATTCAACCATTTTATGTTCTGATAATGCTACTATATCTGGGTGAATTTCTTCCAAATTTATCTGTAAAATATTAAGGCGAGATGAGAGGTGTTGGAACATTTTGATGCAGAACTTTCAGAGGATGAGATTGATTGCTGATTCTTGTTTTTGTAAAATATGATTATAATTAGTATGTTTATAAAATATGTTTGTTACTTTTAGCAGACTGCTTAAGATTATGATTTACAAAAAGATATTCTTGATAACCAAGGACTTGATGTACAACACTAACATTAATATTTGCAAAACTGTTTTTACATGCTGAAACATTTTTGTTGTCATAATTACTTTGTTTAAAGTTAAGGTTGGGGAGCACACTTCACCATCACTATAATGCCCATGATTTCTCGCACTTTCACAAGACACAGTGACTTCCCCCCTCTGTTTTATAGCTATGGTTGGTGAGTGACTTGGTGACCTCTTGTACATCTTGACAACTGGTCAGAGGTTGATTCAGGCACAGAGGGTCAGGCGTTGCTTGACTTTCAAATATTTAGATAAAATACTGAGCTTTAAGTTAGCATTAAACTCATCATACTCAAGACCATTCTAAAGTAAACGAGATGACCATTGGCGATAAGTAACGATGTCCACATAGAGGCTTCAGTAAGATGAAATGTAATAATGTTTGATGTAAAGACTTTTATTGATATTTTCTTATGAACACACCCCATGACTGAGCAAATCAATAGGTAGCCTAGTTCAAAACCTCTCCTCTTGAAATCGCTGATCAGGTCTTCAAATGGTGTGTTTGTAGTCAGGAATCGTGGGTTTTGCTGTTGTATTTATCCTTGGTGATGAATGCATAGACTCCGGCTCCATCTGGGACTTGTTGGTATGCAAAGTGCTTTTTGTAACTCGGTTCTGACCGAGTATGGTTCGCTCTGTGGAGTTTTGGAGTTTCAATCTGTGGAAAGAGTTTCCCAAACTGCTGTTTGAAAATTAGTGCTACTCCTGTGGGTCATCTGCCTACCAGCTCAAAAATCACCCAATATGCAATGAGCGAATGCAATTTTTTAATGATTTTTACATTTATTGATTTAATTCTTTGTATTTGTGTAAATTATTCTGATAAGGGGTTGAATTGATTTGTACTGGTGTTCCATATCTTGGGTTTTCCACCTAGTGATGGCTTTCAGTAAAATATTCAGACTATTTCAGTTGTACCAAAATCCGTCACGTATAGATGTAATCCGTCAGTAGTATAATGAATCCTCTTCAGATGTTTGTCATTTTTATTTCTTGGTTTTCATTGCCGTGTAGGCTCTTATAATATCTTGTTGAGATTGTACACAAGTAATACTGGTCTTTTTTCAGTAAGTATTTTTAGTTCCTTTTCTAAGTTTTCATGAATAGCCTTAAAATCCCCATTTAAGCATCATTAGTACCTCCAAGAAGTAGCACTGGGTTGTTATCACCATTTTATAACACCGAATTGTGATATTTATAGGGATGCACTGTGGATGCGATGCTCCCTGGTGTGGATTAACGTCCGCACTAGTGAGTACTAACGACTATCCGCAGTACTATCCTGATAATTAGACCAATTCGTAAATTACAAGGAAAAAATGTGGTTCGGATTCCACTATAAACTGTAGGTCCCTTAGTTGCCATTAGCTGTATGGGCTATTAATTAACAGCTGTGTCTAAGGAACATGTCGGCCTTAGTCACTAACAAGACTACAAGATCGCGCCACTCATCCTACACTCATCATTCACTCATATTTGGGTTAAGATACGCACATTAGTAGCATCCCCATCTTAAATAATTGATAATTGATAATTGATAATTGATAATTTATGTTTGCTGAATCAATAATTTTTATTAAGATCGGTTTTGGTCTTACATAACCAAATGCATTTACTTTTCCTTCACTAAGCTTATCGACTTTCCAGGCCATATTTTTCCCTGACTGTCACTGCAGTTGGTAACAATTTTTTTTTATACAGGGTGGCTGAAAAGTAACTTGTACCCCCCCTTAACTTTTCAACCATTTGAGATATTTGAAATCTGTTTGCGGCAACCTTCTTAGATATGAGGGGCTACAATAATTATGGTCAATTTCAAAAATTTTTCCCTCGAAAATTCGAGCTAACCCCTACCCCCGCTACCCCTAAGGGCAAAATTTTCAAAACTGACGATAATTATTGTAGCCCTTCATAT